GGAGTCACTTATTCCTGGTGTCCACTCAATTCTCTCCTTTACTTTTGCTTTTACTCCAACTGAATTTTTGTATTGGGAGGATATACAATATGACAAAACGGAAATGTTGACAGGTAATACAAAATATAAGGTTTTAAAGAATACACAAGTTTTGATCTGAAATATTAGAAACTTTATTTCTATATCTACAATTTTGTGCTGTTACAATTTAAAAAGCTTGTTTTTAAACAAGATATTTAGTTAATATAAAATTTAATTTCATAATTTTGAAGTATAAGCATATAAATTAAATGTTATTTTATCAACATAAAATAAATATTCTTTATTTACAATTTAGCTTGATTATTTGCGCCATCTATACGATACGTTTCAGACTTATTCAATTAATAAAGCAGGAAACTGTCATGGGAAGGCAATTAATAAAGCAGGAAACTGTAATGGGAATGCAATTAATAAAACAGGAAACTGTAATGGGGCTAATAAAATGGCAGCTAGTCTGGAAAGCTCAACGTAGATGGCGCTAGTATAGTTGGAGGTCATGTCAACTGTTTAAATTTATATTTTTAAGTAAATAAATATTGGCTATTGCACATAGATAAAAAGGTTAGGTTATGATATTGCATTTATTTCGCTATGTAGGTGCACAGTTTAACCACAAACAGTTAGGACACTCTTAGTCGGCGCCTTTGAAGTATAAAAGTAACCAGACGCCATATTGAAAACAGACCAGATCAGTTACGGACTGGCACAACTGATTAGAACAGAGACGTGTTTATATTATTTTAAAGTTAGTAAACAAGTTAATTTAAATTAATTACAATCTACAATATATTAATTTAATTAAATTTAATTATTATTAAAATGTTTTATTTATTTTATATAAAAATAAAACTTTTCTACCATCATAACCAAATAAGAAACTGAAAAACTTATATTCCAAAACAACTCTTACAATTATTTCGGGAGGCAATTTTGTGTGTAAACTAACTTAAACAGACTTACTGTTAACTTCTACAACAATAATTTAACAAAAGTAAACTTACAAAAAACTTTAACAAGTAAAAATAATATCGGAAAAAATAAGAGGGAGTGAATACGTACATATATATATATATATATATATATATATATATATATATATATATATATATATATATATATATATATATATATATTTAAAATTTTATAAAAGTTGAGGGTGACACTACATTCCTTACAACTTGCTGTCTTACATAAAGAATTTATAAAGAACATATTCATTTTTCTTATTATATGTTAAATTACATAAAAGACAGCCAGAGGCCATCTTTTTTATTATAAGTTTTTTACCTGCCTTTTTAAATTGCACTTACTACAGTTTCTAGTAGAATGGTTGTGTTCTTAAGATTTTTTTTAGTAGCAATGGTACTTGCTTCTTTATAAAGTATTTCATACAGTTCTAGCAGTAATACCAGTTTCTTTTGAAATTAGAACGTGCTGTTACAAGAAAAATTGATTTCAGTTAGACTACTTACGGCAGTTTTAGGCTGTTCCTGTTCTTTATTAATTGCACGAGCTGGTTAATTTTCGAATTTAAAAATAATGTGAATTGCAGATTTTGATGGTACAGGGCTTTCGAATGAAAACGAAAACGTAGCGATTACATCGTTGGCCCTACTTCCAGAATAATATCATTTAATAATTTGAATTTATTGTTCAGTTGTAAAGGTTACCATTTCCCTAACTGAAAATATCAATTCCTTTATTTTTTTGCGAATAAAACCAGAATTATTATTTATTTATTTATTAACGGGATGTTTCCATTTTTTACAAAACAATTAACTACATAAAATATCCTAACCATAACATAAATACTAAAACTAAATATTAAATAATTATTAAATATTGCTAAACAAAAATGATGAAAATCATTTTAAAATGAAATTAATATCCCCAAGTTTTTATAAAAATGAAATATCATACGATTGACTAAAGTCATTTCCCGGTATCTGAATTCTGATAGGGGAGTTTGCCATAGTTAGTGTGATAGTGTTTTATACAGAACAAAGGCATTTCTCTAAGAATTCTAGTGCTACATCTAAAGTTGATAGGACCTAATAAATCAGAACAGTCAGTTACATGGTTAAGTAGTTTATAGAGAAAAACTAGATCACATTTAGTTCTATAGTTTTCTAAGGAACTGATATTTAGCCTTGACCTTAGTTCAACCAAAGACATGTCATTTAAGTTTAATCTATAAGCACAAATCCGAAGAAACTTATTTTGAATTTTTTCGAGGGTGTAAATATGGTTAAAATAGTATGGTGACCATTCTATAGAAGCATAAGATAGGATGTCACAAACCAAAGTAAGATATAAAATTCTATATGTGGGTATCGAAATATCTCGAGAATGTGTTGTGATAAAACCAAGATTGATTGTGATTTCATTACTAATGAAAAAATAGACATATATTTGATGTTTCCCTTATCAAAACTAAATATCACTTTAACAAAACTACAATTCAATCTAATGTGTGTTAAAAACAAGCTCGTATGTAGGTACTAGTTTCATACTATATTCAGCTTCTCTCAGCTCGTAGAACAACCTCATACTGTTCTTTTCGCACTAATTATGTGTGCTATATACAGTTTTCAGATTACCACAACTGTATAGTATTCTTTTGCTACTAACATTTATATATTAGCTCATTATTAGTGTAAGCTTAATTTATTCTAAACAAAACAAAAACTTGAAAAACAAACAATTATAAAAAAAAACTATTATTAGTAGTATTTGGAACATGCACAGGTATTTAACCAGACTTGTAACGTAAAAATTTGTTTAAAATTATAATTAATTGTGCAATTGTTACAAACCATTATGTATTTCTGCATTTCCGGTAACAGAGTTCTCTGCGGGAATATTTACTTCACTATTGTGAACAGTGTCGGCAAAAAATCTTTTATTAGAAGTAAGTAAATCAACAAATCAAAACAACTATATGGCACTGTACTAACACTTATTTTTGATTATTTACCTAGGTAAAAAAGTAATACTGTTTTCCTACAGAGAGAAAATTTACTTCTTGTAGTAATTAAATAAATAATAGTAATTTTTCATGTTAGTAGTAAAAAAAGTTATTTATTGCTCCAAACAATTAATTTATTTTTTATAGATTTATTTGAAATATTTTTTAACCACAATAAGTTTAACCACAAATACTAAATTTTTTATACTATGCAAATATACAAATATCTCTTGCAAACCACAAAACTAATAAGTATATAATATACTAAGTTGAAATTTGATAATACAATTTAGTTCTAAAAAGAACTATTTTTAGACTTAATTAAACGAAAAATAAAACTCGACGATAAAAATATAAACAAACAAATCACGACAGATGACTCGACTACACGTCACATTAATACCAGTCGCGGGTGTCACTAGCGTTAGGTCTGTTTTCAATATGGCGATATGGCCTGCGCCAAATGATGCGCGTACTTTTTCCCGCCTGTCGAGTGTCCATACTATTTCTCTTTATACTATGGTAGGTGTAGATTTATGCTGTGTAGTTGTAATTTGGGATAATAATAAGATGCTTCAGAGTTCAGTGTTGTGTTGTGCTGTTTCTTTGTGCTCATCGAGAATATCCGAGCACAGGTTTCTCAAAGATAATCTGATGAGAAAAAAGTGAATTGTGTCAATAAGAAGAGATAAATATGTGCGACAGAAATGCATTTACTGTATCTACAATAGACTACATATAAAGGATAATATTTGTATGCTTTATGTTAGCAAATTTTCGGAGCAACATAATTGATAAAAATTAATAAAATTAACATAAACACTATTTATTTGTCTTTTATTTTGTTATAGAGATTAAGATTATCCACTTTGGTAAGAAATAGTATTTTTCAGCCAATGCTACAACCATATACTACTCAAAAAACTCTTTGGCTTGAGGGATTATTTCATTATGAATTAAATCATTTTTATATTAAACATCAAATAATAATTACAACATTATGTACAACCTTTTGTAACCCCAAGTATTTTAAAGAGTTTTTACCCTGATATTTTGGTGGCTCAGGCATGTTAACTTGCATTTTTAAACCTGATGATGGAATTATTTTTCCGAAAACGTTTGTGTAATTTGATGTGGCCCTTTTAAGGGATTTTTAAATATACCCACTTACAAAGATCTAACCTCTTTTTATAAAAATACATTTCATCTTTTTTTGTCCAATTAAAAAAATCACAGAACTTACGACCAGTGACTAACATCTGAGTTTGGACTTGCTTATAATAATTTGAATTTATTTTCAACTAATCATTGAATCTTTAATTGAATAGGGGTAGTTAACTTCTAACATAGTTATTCCACAAGTCCATCAGGAAAAGCAGCTAAATAAGGATGGTTAAATGAAATAAAAAGTCCACGGCTAATGAAATGGTTAGTAGTTGCACTGATTACATTATAATTAAAATACATACATCTGTATTGTTACGGTCTTGGATTATAACAGAAATTTGTCTTTTGCTTTTTTGCACATTGCACACAGGAACTATAAAATTTATTTGTTCTGCTTTCTTTGGCGATCCTTCCAGTCTGCTATTTTTTGCCACATTCTCTGTTACAAAGTATTCAGCTTAAGTCTGCATGAAACAGTCCCATTATATGCAGTCCCTTAATTGCCGAATGTCTAGTAAGGAAGCCTGTTACGACTCAGCCGGTTCCTGCTTGTTTTCTGCAGCAGTGTATATTCTCCTAGTGGAATAGAGACAAGCTGTTCTATATGAAAAGATATTAGTAGATAAACTTTAGAAACAAACTATGTTGATGTATTTGTATAGGGTCAAGTTTCGCTTAACATTATACCTAGTTCTTATGAAATTCTTCTATTTTTTTTTTCTTTAAAATTGTCCTAAAATGTTTTCGCTGTTCTTTACATTTATTTTACTAAAAATAAAGAAATACAGGGAGTCTAGGTAAATAAATAAATAAAAAAAGTTAGCACTATTAAACTTTTTTAATTCAATCAATAAACACTTTTCCCTCTCTTCGTATTTTTATAAAAATGTGCAATTGGATGAAGTAAAAATGATAAAACACACAGGAATTTTCTTATAATACTGGTTAAAAATAGAGTAACGATCAGTCTTAATTCAATGGCAAAGAGAGAGGGAAAGTCAATATTACAACAACGTTGACTATAAAAAAAATATTTATAAAAATACAATTTGCTATACATATAGCAATATTAGGGTAAGTGTTAAATGTATAAAACGGTTTCACACATCTCTATAAATAGAGAACATTTTGTCAGAAATCGTTTTACCACATTTATAACAATATATTTACATATATCAAACATATTTACATGTCTTACTCTTAACTAATCAACTCGTTAGCCGACCAACTCTTAGACAGAAACTGGCGATGTATCAGAGTTCCTCTGCAGTGAAAAGAAGACTGACTCCAACGAAAAAAGCAAGATAGTTTATTTTACCCTACAATATGCAGTGTGAAAAAATTCTATCCACTATATCACTTTACGAAATGAGTAAAAATGTTTTTTTCCCAACAAACCATACATTGAAGTGTTAGTAGCACGTGGCATTCAGTGTGAAACTAATGAAATTGTTCATCTACATTTAAATCGAAATTCCGAGTGTGTAGTAAAAGTTAAGTTACACAAATTATTTCAACATTATATTGAAGGAAATAAAAACAATGCATATTTATGAAACAGTATTAGCTCAACAGTGTTGCCGGTGTGCATATGAAAATTAGATATTTTTTGGTGAGATGTCTATTTTGAGATTATGGTTGATGATTATCACAAAACGACAAAAGCAAAAATACAGTTTCAAACGAAAATTTTGACGCTTGGTAAAGTTTTTTTTTCACAAAAATAAAATGGCCTGATGAAGTGACTGATTTGACAAATAATCCCATAAATACATACATACACACACATATCAGGGGAGGCCAACGCGTCGATCGCGGTTAAAGAAATGAATATCCGAAAAATAAAATAAATATTACGAAAATTATTGGAGTAATAGAAATCGATCATCGCGAGCGACTTATGAAGTGTTTACTCTGTACATGATACTACAAATGGGTAGCTTCTTTCTTTCCTTTTTCATTCTACTATTTTTATCTCTCTCTGCTTAATCTGCAATACATACAAAGGAAATTTAGAGCGTCACTTCAATACAATGCACGGTAAATACCAATCAGGAGTTTCCACCTAAGAGTGAAGTGAGAAAGAATAAACTTCAAGCATTAAAATATCTTTTGACTGCCCAGGAAAATATGTTCTGTAAGCCGAATGAACTGTCTAAAGTTGTAACTGAAGCTAACTTCATTTTTAGTTTGTTATGAAATTGTGCAAAAGTGTAAGTCGTTTTCTGATGAAGAATATGTCAAAGAAATATGCGAAGATTTATCAGACTTATTGTTCGTTAATTTTAAAAATAAAAACGAAATAAAAAACAGTATAAATAATCTGCAGCTGTCAAGAAATACTGTGATGCGTCGAGGAGAGGAGAGAGAAATAGTCCAGAGCGGCCGGTCAGAGAGTAGTTATTGTACGAAAAAATAAATCTATTTTGTCATTTTTACAAATTTTTCGGATATTTTGTAATACACAGTATTAGTAAAATCAAGTATACCACAGTAAATGGTTTGATACATAAATCATTTCATAAAAATAAAAAGGGAAGATAGACGACTAATTTTAAAGACACTAAAATAACAAATGTTTACTTAATATAACAAATATCATAGCAACGGAAAATACTATCACTATATAACAACACAATTTAATTAAAAATTCTATAAGAAATAAAAAAGGTATGGAATTTAGTTGAGATAGCTCTGCTTTTGGCAATTAAAAACAAGAAAGCAAGCCGTCATGTTTTTGCATTGTGATGCACGGTGACAGGAACCGTTATACAATTCTTCTGTGGAATTCTTGTGAATATTGGCGAAAATATTCTTGGAGTATCCTTGGTCAAAGGACTAGTACGCACTGACGTAGTGTCAGAAAATATGTCGTCGTCCAAGGATTCCACTTCTACGGGAGCCAGAGACATGTGCTCGGATTCATCGTGAGGTGTCATTGTGGAGTACCCATGATCAGAATCTGTAGGTCCCGCCGTTCTCCTATAGGTACCAGCGACGCAGTAAGGGCTGATGACTTTTGGGCGTTCTTCTTGTATCAGCTTGTCTCTATGGTTTCCCAAATCGTTGAAATTATCAGTGATATTTAAATCACTCATTCTAAGTTGGTCCTGCGCGGAGGACATATAAAATCTGTCGTTTATTTGATTAGAATATGAACGGTAACATACTAATAGTAACACAAATAATATTGTAATGGCTATGATTGAATATATTATTGGTCCCACTGAAGAGAATTCGGCGCCGTTTGGAAGTCGTCCTAAGGCGGTATCGGATATGTCAAACATTCCTTTGAAGCAAGTAGTGATGGATGCACAAAAGGGTTTTCTTAAATAATTGCGATCCATATCGAACATGCACCACTCGCAACCAAGTAGTCCCAAACAGTCTAAATGCGTAACCTGCTCGTGGCAACTGATCGGAAAACATGATTCTAAATTGTTATTTGAGTTGACTATGAAGCTGTTTCCCAAGGCTTCTTCGGTATATTTCTTGCAAGGTATATTTTCCGTCATATTAGTAGTCACTGGTGTCGGTTCACATATATCACTATTTTCTAAAGGACACTCGCAGGGGCATTCACATTCTTTCTGTTCCATTCTATTACAGTTCAGACACAACCTATCCACAATGTTACAAGGGCAAAACGTAGCCCCAATATTACAGGAAACATTAACCACTCCAAGAAATACATTGGTTTGTGGTATAGTGGTTATCTGGTATTTAACACATTGTTCGCCTGGAGCAAAATTCACCAATACACCGTTAAAACTGGTATTGAGCCTGTAATATCTCTGTATAGTGTCATCGTCATAACTATTACACAGAAGTTTCTGTATGAAGTGTTTGTGATTCAAGATATCGTTAGCTACCAGAGACTCTTTATGCACTATATGCTGTTGTTCTATTGGTTTAGCCCCGTTTGCTGTCATCAAATTGGGGTGATAAATTATATAGCCGTCATCATCTACTAAAAAACAAGTAATATTTGGCTCTAAGCAGTCAGGTATATAGTTTACCAACATCTTTAACATAAAACCAAACGTTACGTCCATTCCTACCACCAACTGTGAAGTAGCGTAAGCTACAGTGATAACATAACCTGCACCTCCTTTATCTAAGTATGGAGGAACCAAAACGCTTTTTCCTTTGTGTTGTGACGCTTTAAAATACCATCGGCTTTTCGTAGGAATCCACCCTGGCTTAATAGTACTTCCAGGAAACATTTGAAAAACACCAGAATTTGAAGCCGCAAATCGACGCACTACGTATTTGGAAATGCCTGATTGTAGATGCCGCTTTCTCAAATATGATAATATGTGTGACAATAAAGATACTTCATCTCTTATTTCCTCTTTTAAGCCCGGGTTTATCAGCAACCGGCTGTCGTCTTTCAAATACGCCACGTAATCCTGGCTATGCATTTTGTTTTGTGAGGTACGTGACGCTAGAAATGGGGAACGGAAACACGAAGAACTTAAATAAAGCGACGTTACATCTAAAACAAAATATTAGGATAATTTTAACAAAATACGAAACTGATATGTTTGTTATTTGCTATCTTTAATTGGAATTAACAACAATTTCATTTGAAAATAAGTTTCTTTATTCGTTTCGATTTTCCATTCGGAAATCAACCTCAAAATACTGTTACGTTGTTCTGCGGATTCAGGTATTAAGTGAAACACGACATAACTTAACTAACTTGAAACAAAATTAGTAGATATCCGAAGATTTCTTACTTTTCGAAACTAAAAATCAAATATTTGTCTACTGCGCTTTTTACAATATACATATAAAACAGACAGATTGATGAATTTACCCACAAGGAGAATCTACAATTTGCATTCCACGACCTGTCGTCCCCCATGGCAAATATCCATCGCAACCAATCTGATTCTCGAAGCGTGAACATGTACCGTCATTCAAAGCGCTAGAAAATTTAATTAACTAGGAATTATCTTATCAGCATCAAAAAATTGTTAAAGTTAAAAGTAACAAAAACTAAGTGATTAGTGAAACAAACAAAAGAAATATGTTCCCCTCGGGGAACTTATTAGGATTTGATAATAATGGCCAACCAATTTATCAACAAATGAATACTATACAGGATGTCCCAACAATAAATAACCAGAACCAGTCAAACCAAACAGCAGTATAACCGCTAGTACCATTTTTGTATTTTAATCAAACACCATCTAACCAGATAACAAGTCAAATGTCATGCCTAAAACAAATACCTATTCCAACCCAAATAGCTATACCAAACCAAGTACAATTTCCTAGTCAATCAACTGCACAAAATATTCAAAACCCTTTTCAGTCCCAATTCCACAAACCTTCAATGCTCACTCTCATCATCACAAAACATCAATAATTACACGGATAGCGATAGCGACATAGAACTTAACGAAACAGAAAATAAACATCCTTGGCAAGAAGTTGGCAATAAGAGAAAAAGGGTGGAAAAACCAACAACTTCAGAAATTCCCAACCAAATCCAAACACAAAACAGATTTGATTCCCTCTCAAAAGAAAATCTAGATGAACAAACAGACAATTTATCAAATACACAAAACACAAATATAACCAAAAAAGATCCCTCACCGCCACCAATCTATATTTATGGAGTTACTGACTATAGTGCTATGATAGCACACCTTTCAACTGTAACTGCGGCAGAAACTTATTACACCAAAACTATTTCAAATAATACAGTAAAAATTAACACTACAAACTCAGACACCTACAGGACACTCATACAGCACCTTAGAAAAGGAAACATGGTACATCACACTTGCCAACCGAAACAAGAGAGGGTCCCGAGAGAGAGATATCTCGCATGAATTAAATAATAAGGGCTTTAAAGTTCGCAACATAATTAATGTTAGATATAGAGTTAGCAAAAAACCATTGCCCTTATTCTTTATCGATATAGAGCCAAATGAAAACAACAAAAAACATATTTAACCTGCAAGTCCTACGAAACTGCATAATATCAGTAGAACCACCTAGAATAAAAAGGCCATTCGCCTGTGTTAAATGCGGTGGATCACATGACACAAAAACCTGCAAAAAACACGCGACACACCAGCAACATGTGCCTTATGTAATGGCAATCATCCAGCAAACTATAAAGGATGTGCTATATATAAAAACCTAGTAAATTCGAAAAACAAAAATATAACAAGCAGCATTCCTATACCTAGAGTAGCAAGCCTAAATAATAATAACACTAATGTTCATCACATACGCCAATTACAGGTAACATATATGCTCAAGTTGCAGCAACTAATACTTCTTCACAAGACAACAATAATTCAGACCTTTCAAATAAACAGAATTCCTCAACGAATTTAAAGATATGTTTGCACAATTGATAAACCAAAACAGCATGATACTAAGCATGCTTACAACAGTGATAAAAAAACGTCGTAATGGCTAACTCACTTTGTAGCGTTTTTTTATTTAAAGTGCATATAAAATATTTCTATGGTACGTCCCTGTTGTTTCTACCAAGAAATCGATCAATAAAGTTAAATGTAGGTACGTTGTAAATATTTCAAGTTTTTTTTGACGAGATTTTTAAATGCGTATTAACGTTGGAAATATGTTTTTATCTCTGTGTTGCAATGTTAGGTAAAACAAACAGTTTTTTGTCGCCAAAGAGGTGTTATGTTACATGAATTCCCCCTAATATTCCAGTTGACAAAAAGTTGTTTTTCGTTATTAGAATGAGAGTCAAAAAGAATATTTGTTTATTTAGGATACCAATACTGGCGTCTAAAAACGCAATAAAGGAATATTTAAAAGGTTTTTTGTCGATACGAGCGAGGGGATATTGTTTTGGTTCTTGAGTTTGTGGGGACAGGTTAGCTGCAAGACGGAAGGGAAATTTTTGTGGAGATTCTGGTAAAATGTAACGAAGCGAAAGGGAGTCGACTTTTAAGTTCCAAGCGGGGCAGACATGTGAGAATGGAGTAAAAGATTTGAAACGGAGTCGAGATTTGAGTTCCAAACGGGGCAGACATGGACAATTGAGACCAAGATTTGATTTGAAAAGAAGTCGAGATTTAGATTCCAAGCGGGGCAGACATGTGATAAGAGTCGACATTTAGATTCCAAACAGGGCAAACATGTGACAATAGGTCGACGAGATTAAAAAGAGCAACGAGGTAGGCAGGTGATGTAAGGCAGCTCGAGTTGAAAGGACTTGGGCATTTTTCATAAACAGCCGGTAATTTTGTGTAATGGGTTAATTAATCAGACCTGTAAACAGTGGACTCTCCGTAAACATGACGGATTAGCATAGAGAAACCACTAAAAGGATTTATGCAGTATACCAGAACATGGTAAAATTTTAAAGCAGTACATAGGGTGTGCCACCAGCTTCGTGTGTCATCTGTTTGCCCCAACCTCGTTCCTGAGTATAGAAATGTTTCCTATGTCCCAGTTAGAGGATTTGTACAAGTAGCTTCCAGTCAGAGATGTAACAAGTTTTTTTTTAAGTTGAGTGACGAAATATGTAAATTTTAAGGTAACAATTCAATATATTAATTTTTCAAAGTAAAGACAGATATTTTTTGGCTAAAGTAATAATTGCTTTCATTCTTTGTCATCAAAATTAAATGTGATACCTGACAGCAAGTTTAATTTGTTTTTTTGTTATGACAATTTTAATTTGATAATTATGTAGAAACGATATTTCATATATAAGTTTAAATTTATATGTTTTCATTAAGAAGGATCCTTAATTTTTGATAATCTAATTGGCCATAATATAGTAAACAAAGAACATGTAAGTTTTTGTTATTTGTATTATGTTATATGATATGTTCCTTTTATAATATGTATTTTTGATCTGTTTTGTTTGGTGAGACAAAAATAAATGTTTAATTTGTTTCTCTGATCTATTTTGAGTTTTATTTGAAAAAGATATTTTTTTTCTATATTTTTGATGTTCCATAATTATTTCCCTAGTTACAACTAGTGGTTGTAATAGGTATAATTAGGCACCTCAAGTGGCGCCCTATATTAAATTTCTTGAGGTGTTTCCGTTTATTTTCATTCTGTTTGTCCCAAGAGATTCGTATAAGTACCCCTTTATTTCTTTTTTTGTAGTTGCCCCAATCTAACCCCCAATATCTTCAACTTATCCACGACCCAGCTCTCCAACAACCAACTGAGTGTCCGTATGCACTTGTTTCGATTATTTTGTTTGCCCAATCTTGTCCCCCATATTCTTACCCTGTGGTAAGCAAAATAGTCGTTACAACTTAGAATAGCAGAGTGGAACGCAAACGGTCTAACAAACCATGTGCAAGAAATTATACTATTTCTAAAATTAAAAAAATAGACATCTTACTTCTATCTGAGAGTCACACAACTGAGAGGTCTTTTATAAAAATTCCACACTACTGTCTATTACGCAAACCATCCAGATGGAACAGCCCATGCTGGTTCATTTGTAATAATTCGTACAACTATAAAATAGGACGAACTTGCTTCAAAATACTATCATAAAAGTACATGCGCTCACCTTCCGATTAACAATAGCTTCTATCTAAAACCCACCACGCCATACCATCAATCTGGAGGTATAGAGAGTTTTTTGAACAACTTGGCTCACATTTCCTAGTGGTAGGGGACTGGAATGCAAAACATACAACCTGGGGAGCCAGACAGATATCTCCAAAAGACAGAAATCAATTAGAGATCAAAGAAGATAATAACCTGAAATATCTAATAACTGGTACTCCCACATACTGACCCACTGATAACAACAAAATTTCTGATCTGTTAGACTTTGCTATAATTAAGGGAATACCTGTCCCATCTTGATTACCGTAAGTACCAATATAATTTGGAAACTCTTGCACCAAGGCTCAGTAACACGAATTGGGTTCAATTCAAAGAAGAAATCAATGAAAAAATAGCTCTTGACATTGGAAAGTATCTTGGAAAGATACTCCTGTAAAGGAAAAAAACATTGATGAAAGGTATAGTATACCCCTCCACATTAGAACACTAGTAGAAGAGAGAAGAAGAGCCCGTCGCAAATGGCAAAGAACAAGAAACGCGACAGATAAAACAGGCTCACACACAGACTTCATTCCGCTATCCAAACAGCCAAAAACGAATCCTTTGAAAGATATGTCACAAACCTTTCTCTTGATGACAACTCCCTTTGGAAAGCCACAAAGAATTTCAAAAAGCCGGTAGTAAAAAAATGATATCAGATATAGAAAAATCCAACAGATTTGCAGAACATTCTTCTCCACCCCACAGGCCAACGATATTAACGACGAGAAAATTAGAGACTTCCATGCACCCTGTCAGCTACACTAAAATACTACTCATCAAACGAAGTTCGTAACGAAGTCAACCTGCTTAACCGTCATAAAGCTCCAGGATTTGACCTTATAACTGGCGAAATCTTAAAAAAAACTCCCAAGAAAAGGTGTCGTCTTAATAACCATTAGTTTTAATAGCCTCCTGAGACTATGCTATTTTCCAGGGCAATGGAAGTATGAACAAATTATAACGATACCTAAACCTGGTAAACCTCTAACTGAAGCCAGTTCGTACAGACCAATAAGTCTCCTTCCGACCCTTTCATGGATTCACACAAGTCATATCGTTTGCATCATCCCTCCACATCTTGCCCACAATTAACCCAGTAATATCTCTCAAGTAATATCATCCCAAATGCCCCTCGGAGCGGCTATCGTGAAGTTCTGCCAGCACGTCCGTTAAACAAGTCCTTGGGAGAACAACTTGGGCCCTGTTCTTGTTCCATCTAGACTCCCCATTTACGAGTCATGATGTCATCTTGCAGACAGAAGGGGTCAATCTGAAGCCTATAGCCCTTCACTGCTTCCCCATATTTGGCAATCTCTTGCCACTGTGGCCTAGCTCTCTTGTCCAGTCACCAGGGACTATCTTTAGATCTAGATTTCTTCTGACCGGCCTGAAGATTTTCTTAGGTTAGAGCTTCTTCGTCTCTTCGGCCCTGAACTGGTTTTAACTGTAGAATCTGGTCCACTCGATCTTTTTGGCTCTCGCAAAATCGGCAGTTTCTGTCTTTGCTTAATCTTCTCGAGAGGTCGTCGGCATTGTCAAAATGTCAAATGGCAAATGTCAAAATCATAAGTCTGCAGTATTTCTAGCCATCGAGCTATCTGACTCTCAGGTGTCTTGAAATTGAGGAGCCATCTTCTCAGCCAATAACCAAGCTATTCAATATTCTGTAATCTCCACCGAACCTTGTGGAGCCATCTTTATTGGTTGCCAATACTAGTGGAGAAGACCCGTGGCTACTTGACTCTTCAATAACATTCTGTTTCTGCACATCTTCAAGAATGGCAAAAGCTTCTTTTTGTTGTACAAATGAGAGACGTTTTGGTGCCTGCCTTATGGGTTTGAAATTTTCAGTGTTGGTCTAACTCGGTTCGGCCAGTTATTTCTCTTCTGACGAAGATGTAACTTTCGTTTTTGATGAATTCTTCTGCTTTTTGGTATTCATCTGCAGATAGACGGCCCCATGCCTTTTTTAGATTTTCGAGCAATTCAGTGGGGAGTTGGTACGTACCGCTGGCTATTGGCACGTTTTCTTCTATTTTAGTCACTCTCTGTCTCTTCGAGTTCTTTTTACTTCTTTACTCACTTTTGAAACCTCTATTTTTGTTGTTGTTAATTCCCAATAAAGATAATAAATAATATTAAAACGCCACAAAAAATAGCTTCAGAACTATAATAATACATTTGATGGAAAAAGTGTACATACCTATTGTAGCTAGAAGATTTAGATGCCGACACAGTTTATAATCTTCAAAATTTTGGTACAGAAAGTCATTTTGAAACCAAACAGGCTTCTGAGGCTTACTAGGAGCACCATATTTTGTATTAATTACCAAACACACTACGTACCAATCACTAATCCTGCTCCAGGCATAATGTACCTAAAATAATTTCTATATTTAAGTAAACGTTTAAGGTTGGGTCGTTTTTTTTATTTTGATCACTTTGGTCATAATATAGATGATTTTAATACATAAAAGATAATTTCACATCGATTATACGACAAATTAAGAGCGGACAAATACAGAAGAAAGTTCGAGATCGAAGTAATAGACTGAACTTATGCCACACAATTTCATGGGTGGATCGTGTGACTAATGTTGAGGTCCTACGTAGAATAGGCAAGGAATGCGAGATTATTAACACCATCAAAGAGCGCAAACTAGAATATCTTGGCCATGTTATGAGGAATGAACAGAGATACGGCTTGTTGCAACTCATTCTTCAGGGCAAGGTATTTGGAAAGAGGGGAACAGGGAGAAGAAGAATATCTTGGCTTCAAAACCTGAGAAAGTGGTTTAATACATCGACAACCGGACTATTCAGAATAGCAGCAAGCAAAGTTAGGATAGCCATGTTGATCGCCAACATCCGGAACGGATAGGCACCGTAAGAAGAAGAAGAATGCCACAGTACCACAATTGTAGCGAGTGACTCATATTTTCAATGTAGACATTTGCGGGTTTGAGGGGAAAGAAAATCAATGAGTCGTAGGCTCGCGGTTATTATTAAAAAATAATCAGGATTTTAGAACGAATTAATTGCCATAAAAATTATGACATTGTATTAGTCATTATATATAATCTAATCGGAGTCATCTGTTAGAAAAGGAGCTTGTTAACTTGGGAAAGGATCACTGCCGGAGCAATGCGACCAATGGGTGGCATTAAAGTTAGAAGATCCTGATGGTTTCCAGGGCAACAACTAACAATAATCACGGAGGAAGCTACAGCTAGCTGAAGAAATGAATGCCAAACGCTAAAATGTGATCCGAACGTAGTAATCCTGTCCCAAGTTAACATACTCCTTTTCTAACTTAGCTGCACCGTACTCAAAACGACCAATAATCAGAAATACGTATATACGGTTATCTTCCATCGATATACCTGTTTTGTTTTTTGTTTTGCGAGACATACCGCTACATTTTTATTTTTATTACTCACTCACATTAACCTTTTCTATTTTTTTAAATGTTTTAACGTTCGGAATTTCTTTTCTCAGCTAGCTTTAGCTTCCTCCGTGGTTATTGTTAGTTGTTACCTTCGAAACCATCAGGGTCTTCTAACTGTAATGCCACAAATTGGTCGTATTGCTCCTGTAGTGATCCTTTCACAATTGAATATGCCCCTTTTCTAACCTGGCTGCACCCTACTGAAGACAACCAATATTTCATCGTTTCTTTACTTACTCGGTAAGGCAAAACGCGTGCGTCGTTCGCTCACGAGGTGGCGACTGTCACGGTATCCTTGAGCCAAGGACACGGAGTGACGTTTCGTTGCGGTGCCGTTCGTCGTTTTCGTGGTTCTGATAAGGCTCGCCTTTCGGTTACCCGGCTAGCGTTCGTGTGCTTCGTTTCGAGCGTCAACTTATCTCCAGCCTGATTCGATTCGAGGACAGTGACAGGCGGGGAGTTTGACTGGAGCGGTACATCTGTCAAAGAATATCGCAGGTGTCCTAAGGCCAGCTCGCAGGTGTCCTAAGGCCATGCATAGGGACTGCGAAAGCACGGCCTATCCATCCTTTTGGCTTGAAGAGTTTTCAGCAAGAGGTGTCAGAAAAGTTACCACAGGGATAACTGACTTGTGGCGGCCAAGCGTTCATAGCGAGGTCGCTTTTTGATCCTTCGATGTCGGCTCTTCCTATCATTGCGAAGCAGAATTCGCCAAGCGTTGGATTGTTCACCCATAGACAGGGAACGTGAGCTGGGTTTAGACCGTCGTGAGACAGATTAGTATTACCCTACTGATGTAGAGGAACCGCAAGTTCGGACCTTTGGTTGACGCACTTACTCGAGCGGGTAATGGTGCGAAGTTACCATGCGTGGGATTATGCCTGAACGCCTCTAAGGTCAAAGGCAACAACCATATCTCTTGGAGTTCCGAGAGTCGAAAGGCTCAAAACAATGTGACTTTACTAGGCAATCGTATTTCACTACGATTGTCACACGAGCCCTTATTTCCGTTGAGATTATCGGTTTACGGTGGGATCGATCCTTGCCAGTAGACCAGATCTTTAGATAGACGAACATTGTATTTTTATGTTTTTAATATTCAGGGCCGAATCAAGCTGTTATATTTATGGGGTTAAAAATGTTTTTCAAACAAGTAAAACAGTAGACATAGAAAAGCTGGTGTGAAGTCATATAGGCCAAAAAGATTCCAAAAATTGAAAATATGATAATCGAGCTAAGTTTTGTGAATGAATACTGTAAATTCGACTGGCAAATGGGGTAAAGTGTGTATATCGGCGATCAGTGGAACAAAATGAATAATATAATTTTATTTCTACTGTTGTGTTCTCTTTGAATGTTTATTATAAAAAAATATAAAAATAATAATTTCTATTACTGCTAAGATGTTTGACTTACCAAATCAGTATTATTTTCTCTAAAACCTTGAAAAATTCCCTTTTTCTCAGTTAATAGTCTATTTTTTAAAGTCTGAACATCTATCACTTTTTCAATATGCTCCAAATCAATAAACATAGAATAGCTATTCCCTGAGACTCGCATGTAGTAAGGATGATAAATGACATTACCATTCAAATCCATGAGGAAGAAATAGGAATAACCTTGACCTCCACCGTAGTATACAATGTCTTCGGCCAAATTTGAAAAATATACATCAATTCCTAACATAAAGAAGTTACTCTTATTCTTCCATCCTTTAGTAAAAGATACTATTATATCTACAACAAAAATAAACTATAATAAAAAATAATACAATTTGTATCAGTGATTTTTGTAAGGAATTAAGACAATAACTAATATAAATACACAAAATAAATAGGCTCACCTTCCTTATTTGTGTCCAATGTTGGCAAATGTATTTTGGTTCCAGTCTCAAAATGGGAATATGGATTGAAGACATAACAAAACCTCTCCACTGCAAATGGTATACTCTCCATGCTATCTACTTTAAGCATAAGTCCAAGCTTGCGATATGGATTTGGTCCAAAAGGAACATTATATTTTGAATAATTCTGATATGCTATATCACATAAGAACTGGGGTTCATACACCACTGGTTTTAATTCTATAAACATTACATAATTTTACAGTATACCTCGGGGCACGAGACAAACAGGAGAAAGAAAATTTTTAGTAGTACAAATTTGTCGTTTACCAAAAATTATGTATTTCATTGGAATACATGTAAAACTAATATTTATATTTCATAACAATAGATGTGTGATATCAAAACTACATAATAAAGTAAAACCTCTGTAAGTCGAACCTCGATAAGACGAAAACCGCCAATTTTGTTACGAATTTAATCCAGTTCCATTATAATTTACAATAAATAGGTGTTTCCATTAAACATTTTGAAGAAAAACAAATTTTAATTTTTTCTATTCGAAAGTACTCTCTACCCATGACAATTAGAACTAAATGCAATTTATTTATAGTAGATGTAAATTAAATCATCCACACCCTTTCTAATGACACTAATTTCGTTAAAATCGGTTGATCCAAACCAAAGTTATAGATATTTATCCACAAATACTTTCCCACTCTCCCCCACCCTTTATTTAAAAAAATAAAAAAAGTACTCGAACAACTTTGTGTGGAATTTAGGCCTCTGTCTAGTTTACTTATTTAACACTTGGTATAATTGAGCATATTTCACAAAAAACTGGTTTTCAAATTTTTCTTCACAAGTTACGCCCCCCAGCGGTTAAACTTTAAAGTTATTTCCAGTGATTTCTCTTGGCCACTATTACGAAGGAATTTTTTCTCTTAAAGTTATAACATGAATAGTTTCTGATATATTATAGCCGAGAGATCGGCTTATTGGACCACCCGGTATAACAGCTTACAAATAAAATTGTTAAACATAAGTGCTGTGAAACGTAAACTGAAAACTTTCGAGTTATCGAGTTAGAAGTGTTCGAAGCTGTCAAAAGAAGAAAGATTTTGCTAAACAATTTGGCCTAACTCTGTCAACGATAATAAAAAATGAATCAGGTCCCGAAATCAAAGAATGCAATCCCGAAAAAATAAATGGACCTTAAAAACATTTACCATTTTAATTTCATAGGAAGTTAGGCGATAGGGTAGGATTTGCATGTGCTAATGATGTCGAGTATTTCCAATAAACGTGACATTATGTTGCTCTAATCTTAAACATTCCAGTTAGTCATCGCATTTTAATTTCATCTCACATTGAAAGATGTAATAAAAATTTACGACTTCCTGTCTTCACTGTCGATAAGAATTGCTTATTAAAAATGTAAAATATTTACATTGCCCTAATTTGGCTTATAAATAAACATTTTAAGAACTGAAAAGAATATATAGGACAAATAAATAAACAACAAATCAATGTATGATAGAAAAATAATAGAATTTTGGTTTTAAATTCAGCAAAATATGTTTATACGAAACACGAAACGAAAACCTCGAATTCGTTAGGAAAAATATTCCCATGAGATTTGGATAATCATTTTCATACAATATCGTACAATAATGTTCAAGAGGTCGCTCATACAAAAAGTGGTCCTAATTTATTAAACAGTTTTGTATAAATCCATTTTTAGGTTGTGATAAGGGTCTCAAACAACTAAAAACAATGTTGTTAAATTAAATAAGCCCAAACTAAAGTATCAGAAACTGATAGAACAAGGTTTGGTGAATTTAAAAAGTTTGGTTTTTGTGTGTTTTTGAGCCAACAATTTTTTTTTTCAGTTTTAAATTGTTTAAAGTTGAAAACGATCAACTTTAAAAAGAAATTACAATAGGTATATATAAGTTTTTTATTCAGAATGATCCAAAAAATGATAAAATAGTAAAAACGATTGTTTACAAAAAAAAAATAATAATAATAATAACGCTCGAAAAATTGATCGTAAATAAATGAAAACTGAATTAAATTCGGAGTTCGTGCGAAGAGCAAGACAACTAAATCGATCATATCTTGATAGTAAAAATTTGTTTAAGGCATTAAATACGTACGCCTGTTCCGTGCTGAGCTACTCCATCAAAGAGGCAAGAATAGCATTGAATTCTTTACAGAATTTTATAGAGCAAACCAGCAGCTCTGAAGAACGAGAACTAGAAAAATTACTGACATTTTTATTGCCATATTTTAATATTTTAAGAATGTTTTAGAATAATGTCGAAATTTTCCATAAGTCAAAGACTCTATAACTCAAATTTATTTGGCGCCTCACTTGAAGTTCAACTTATAGAGGTTCTAGTGTATTTCAAATTTCAGTTAAACTTACCGTCAATGATGGCACATGTATTTATAAATAATGATATATTGTATGTTGCTGTAAATTTCTCCAGCATTTCTAAAACTTGTTTGGGTTCCATCAGGGAAGAGAGTAAGCCTCTGCTAACATATAATATCATAACTGTTTCATTTTTTATTTGGTTAAAACTGTTCAGTACAATCTCTAAGCTCTTTTCAAAGCTAAGAGTATGATTTGTCAAACCTGAAAAAAGAAAATATATATATATATATATATATATATATATATATATATATATATATTTATATATATATATATATATATATATATATTTATATATATATATATTTATATATATATATATTTATATATATATATATATATATATATATATATATGTATATATGTATATATATATACAGGGTGTCCCATAATTAATTGGACATTAGCTAATGGGTGATAGCTGACATCAAAATAAATTACTTACGAAAAATGTTGCTAGTTTTCGTTCTACAGGGAGATTCATTAATATTTTTTATATTATTTTTATGGATATATTGAAAACTATTCAACCAATTTAAGTGAAATTTGGTATATTGCTATTATTTAGTATGCTTAATAAGAAAATGATATTAGTTTTACCATTGACACTAGGTGGCGCCACCTACTGTAACATTGGTTCATTAATGGGGCCATAATTTTTTTGTCCGCCCTGTATAAACATTCTAGGAAAAAAAAACATGAAATAACATTCAATTCTACACAAAAATGGTATTCTTGTTTCAAATAAAAAAAGTACACCGTTTTCGAAATAAACGTATTTTGTTAATGATGCATGTCTCTATTTAATTTTTTGCAAAACAAGTATGCTTTGAACTTAATGACAACGTCAAGACGTAACTACGAATTTATTTATTATTAGTTATCAAAGGTAACTACGAATTTATTTATTATTAGTTGTCAAAGTGCAGTGCGAGTCATTATTTGTCAAAGTGCTATTAAGTTTTTTATAAACCACTTAAGAAAAGGAAAAATGCCACGTCATAGTGAATTTTCTAATGTAGAAATGCGCGATATGATCTGTTTGTATGCCCAGGAAAATTTTTGTTCTCGTAAAGCAGCTGAACTCTATTTTGAACTTTATCCCAATAGAAGGCAACCAAACCATAAAACTATTAGATCATTGTTCGACAGATTAGGCGAAACAGGGTCATTTCATCCCAAAAACAGGAATGCTGGAAGACCGAGAGTAATTGATGCGGATATGGAGGATGAAATTGTTCTGCGTGTTGCAGAAGATCCAGAAACCAGTACAAAGCTTGTTTCTGCGGACACTGGTATAAGCAAATCTACGGCGTCAAGAATAATACGGACAGAAAATCTGTATCCGTATCGTTTTACTCCAGTACAGAATCTTTTACCACAGGATTTTCCAGCAAAGCTCCGATTTAGTCAGTTTATGATGGGGCGGCATTTAGACGATCCAATGTTTTATAATAAAATTTTATTTACCGATGAAGCCACATTTACTAGAAGAGGTGTATTTAACTGGCGCAATAGCCATACCTACGCGACAGAATATCCTCATGCATTTCAAGAACATCATTTTCAACACGAGTTTTCCATAAATATCTGGTGTGGCATATTTGGGGATTGTATTGTAGGACTAGGACCATTCGAATTACCAACTAGGCTTGACGGAGTAACGTATCTAAATTTTTTGATATAAGATTTACCAACTCTTTTAGAAGACATACCTCTAAATTTGAGACGAAACTCTTGGTACATGCATGATGGTGCACCACCACATTATAGCCTAGAAGTTAGAAATTATCTAGATTAAATTTATCCTCAAAGGTGGATTGGTAGAGGTAGTGTATACCCATGGCCAGCACGCAGTCCCGAACTAAATCCCCTAGACTTTCACTTGTGGGGCTACCTAAAGTCACTTGTTTATAAAAAAAAATAAATAACCGTCAAGAGTTATGGCAAAATATTGTAGAGGGAGTTAACGTAATTAGGGCCCAAAGAAACTCATTATTTAAAATAACGACAAAACTTACACAAAAGATTTGGATTATGTAGTTTATCTAATGGTGCACATTTTGAACACTTATTGTAATTTTTTTTCGTTTCGTTTTGAATTATTCACTTTGTTAATTGTTTTATATTGACTTCATTGTTTAATTTAATTTCTGATTTTTTTAGAATTTGTTACTGAGTCAAAGGTTTAATAAAAATAATTGTTTCAGTCATATGCATTTTGTTTGCAAAAATTATCTACTACTAATACATTTAATATTCACTTTTATTTAAGACCTTTTGAATAATTTACATAAGTTTTTGTAAATTTTTTTTATTTTATGCACGTCTCTAAAAAATACGTTTATTTCGAAAACGGTGTACTTTTTTGATTTGAAACAAGAATACCTTTTTTGTGTAGAATTGAATGTTATTTCATGTTTTTTTCCTAGAATGTTTATACAGGGAAGGAAAAAAAAATATGGCCCCATTAATGAACCAATGTTATAGTAGGTGGCGCCACCTAGTGTCATCGGTAAAACTAATATCATTTTCATATTAAGTATACTAAATAATAGCAAGATACCAAATTTTACTTAAATCGGTTGAATAGTTTTCAATATATCCCTAAAAATAATATAAAAAAATATTAATGAATCACCCTGTAGAACGAAAACTAGAAACATTTTGCCTAAGCAATTTGAGCTCAAACGCTTTATTTTGATGTCAGCTATCACCCATTAGCTAATGTCCAATTTATTATGGGACACCCTGTATATGCAGGGTGTCACCACTAACGGGACGGAAGATTACAGCGAAACGGTAAAAGATTTTAAAAACATTTTAAATTTATAGTTTGAAGGTTGATAAGGGCTACATTTTAAAATTATTTTGAAATATACAGGGCATTCCAATAAAGTGCGGCGTATCAAAGTTATATTTTTTCTTATGGGACACCCTGTATTTTATTACATTTTCTAATTGTCAGCAAAAAATTAGGTATAGTTTCATAAGACTTCCCTATACCTATGTACAGAGTGTTCTGAGTTATGTGGAATATTTTTAAAATATAAAGCTTAAACGAAGACTCATTCCTAACTTATTTAAGAAATTCTAATAAAATTGGTTATACCTCTAAATAGTTGGATATTGGTTAATAATGTATTTCATGATTAATTATTAAACATTTATTTACAGGGTGTTCAAAATTTGTAGTTTCATTATTGGACTATTCAATGTGTAATAAAAGGCTTATTTTAAATGGAACACCCTGTATATTCATGAATTATTATATTAAAAAAATTTCCAGTTTCGAATGATATATGGATGTCCTATAACTAGGAGTGATATATTTTGCGTAATTTAAAACTTTCTTTTCGATTTCAAAATATTTATAGTTGTTACTCTCGATTATTAAACCCATCATTTTGACACATTTGTTATAAATGAAATCAATGTAGTTGTAAACAAATGTGTATACTTTATACTTTTACTTGGTGATGCACAACGAATCAGAAAGAATTTTAATAAAACAAATAATACAAAATAAACCACAACTTACTACATTATAAGCAAAAAAAAAATTTTAAAGGAGACTCTTTCTCGACTTATTAAGTAATTATAAGAAATTTTCTCTTACAGCGAAATAGTTGGGTAATGGTTAAATTTATTCCATTATTGATTATTAAACATTTATTTACAGGGTGTTCAAAACTTAGTTTCAATTTTGGATTATTCAATATCTAATACGAGGCAAGGAAGTTTTTGGAAGATTGCTTAATAGATTCCGTGCTGCTGGTAATGTTGCATACGAAAAGATAAACAAAAATAAACCAGTTATTGGTGACAACGTTAACGAACTTAATATCCTGCTTTCTGTTACGGAAAACCCAAATATTAGTACAAGAAAAATTTCGGGTGAATTAGAAATTAGTAGACTACTTAAGACCAACCACTTTCATCCGTATCACATTCAACTTCACCACCATTTAACAGAACAAGATTATGGTAACCGTTTAAATTTTTGTTTATGGACTTTCGATAAAATTGGAGAAGATCCTGATTTTTTTAGAAATGTATTATTTAGAGACGAATCGACTTTTCATAATAATGGTCTAGAAAATAGACATAATTTTCATTATTATGACACAGAAAATAAACATTTATTTCGTACTGTTGATCGCCAACACCGATGGAGTGTTAATGTTTGGGGTGGCATTATGGGCGAGTACGTTATCGGCCCGTATTTTTTTGACGGACATCTCAATGGGACAAATTTCCTAAATTTTTTAAAACAAGAACCTTCCACTTAGTCAGTTGGACGGAGCTCCTGCTCATTTCTCACGTAATGTTAGGAACTACCTTAACAGAAAATTTACAAACAGATGGATAGGTAGAGGTGGTTCATATAATTGGCCCCCTAGGTCACCAGGACTAACCAAGATTGATTTTTTTAAGTGGGGCTATATTAAAAATATTGTTTATGCTACACTTCCTACTACTAGAGATGACATGAAATTAAGAATTACAAAGGTGTTTGCTTCAATAACTCCTGCTATGTTAAATAATATAAGTAAATCATTGGAAGATAGAATCGCTTGTTGTATTGCACAAGATGGCAAGCAATTTGAACATCTGTTACATACCTGAACATTTTTTAGTTATACTAAGTTTTGGATTATTTTGTATTATTTATGTTCATTATTCATTTTGTATTATTTGTTTTATTAAAATTCTTTCTGTTTCGTTATGTACTTAATTGTTTTCAAAAAAAGAGTGGGTGCTCGTAAGCATGTAAGAAGTTATAGGTACATCTTATTATTATTACTATTATTATGAATTCAACGAAATACATACATTTTACAATTTTAGTTTTATTTAAATATTAAACTTATTTTAATACTTAAAATAATACAAAAAATTAAACATAACGTTAATATCTACGTCATGTTTGAAAACTCTAACCTTTGCGCAGTTGCCTTTCACTTGAATCGTATAAAATCTAAAAAACATCAGATTTTCAACAATTTTTTTTTATTTTCTTTTCATCATATTTTAATACTAATTATCCTATTCCCAACGAATACAAATCCAAAGACAACAATATGTCAATATGATGGGTTTAAAAATCGAAAGTATCAATAATTATAAATATTTGAAATCAATTTTCGTTTAATAAAATTTTAAATTACGGCAAAACTATAAGTTCCAGTTATAGGACATCCATATATCATTCGAAATAGAATTTTTTTTTTAATTTAATAATTCATTCAAATACAAGGTGTTCCATTTAAAATAAGCCTTATATTACACATTGAATAATCCAATAATGAAACCACAAATTTTGAACACCCTGTAAATAAATGTTTAATAATTAATCATGAAATACATTCGACCAATATCCAGCTATTTAGATGTATGAGTAATTAGAATTGCTTAAATAAATTAAGAATGAGTCCTCATTTAAAGTTTTACATTTTAAGAAAATTCGACATAACTCAGAACACTTTGTACCTAGCTATAGGGAAGTCTTATTAAACTATACCTTATTTTTTTGCAGACAATTGAAAATCCAATAAAATACAGGATGTTCCATAAAAAAAACGACGCGCTTTATTGTGACACCCTGTATATTTTAGAATAATTTTAAAATGTAGCCTTTATCTACCTACATACTATACATTTAAAATTTTTTCAAAATCTTTTACCGATTCACTGTAATCTTCCTTCCCGTTAGTGGTGACTCACCCTGTATATGTATGTTATATGCATTGGACCAATCAATGTTCCTTATCACAACAATTCCCAGGGTATCAGGTTACAAGTTCCAAATACCAGAGCGGATAAGGATCCCTGCACATGCAATATCAGCAGAGTCAGCGGGACCCAAGCTTTTTACAGGTTCCCACTGAGTCAGCAGTTACTAATATTATAAAACCACTTTATTTATCGCTAATTATTTTCGTCCATCATATTTAAGTTTTAAATTCATAAACTTTGAAAATTGTATTTTTGAAATAAATTAATTTTTTAAAAAGTCAAAAAGGTGTTCCGTGATATAAAATATATATAGTACCTGGTCAAATTATTTTAGAAGAGAATAGAAATATGCCTTATTGTCACTATAATAGGCAATAATACTATAAAAGTAATAATAACAATAACAATTAAAATTTACTAAAATTACATAAATCGTCAATATCATAGAATAAAATAAAATATACAATCCATTGTTAAAGTTATGAGAAATTCGGGAATAAACTTAAAAGGTACGATATATACCCGTAGTATACAAATAATGGCATACGTTGATGATATCGTCATAATTGGAAAAACCCAAAATGAAGCAGTGGAGGCTTTCACGCGTATTAAAAATGCCGCAGAAAACATCGGACTTCTGATTAACATCCAGAAAACTAAAAATATATGCCGGCCATATCAAGAATTCAACAAAATAACTTAGAGCTGCAACACGAAACGATAGAAATGGTATAAGAATTCTGCTACTTAGGATCACTGGTAGACTACAAAAATAACACATCCAACGAGATAAAAAAAAGAATATGCGTGGCTAACCGCTGTTATTTCGGCCTGGGCACTCAACTAAGAGCGAGAAGTACGTCAATAGCAACAAAGTGCAAACTTTATAAAACAATAATACGCCCAGTGCTCACATACGGATCGAAAACATGGGCAATGACGACCCGAGATGAAGATTTACTACGAGTCTTTGAAAGAAAAGTATTGAGGACCATATATGGCGGAGTAAACGAACAGGGTCTGTGGAGAAGGCGATATAACTTTGAACTCTATAGACTTTTTGGTGATGCAGATATTGTGAAGACCATCAAATAAACCGCCTAAGGTGGGTGGGCCACGTTATGCGGATGGATGAGAGTGATCCCACTAAAATAACTATGCTAAACAGGCCAGTCGGAAGAAGAAGAAGGGGGCGACCTAAAATCAGATATCTGGACGATGTACAGGAAGATCTGAGGGAGATTGGAGTGAGGGGCTGGAGAAGACAGACATTATGGACCATTGGTTAAAATGTGGATCATTAAAACGGGATAGACCTACAGACGAAGAGGGAGAAAATGCATTCAATGTTAAAGTTAAAAAGTCAATGACTCTCGAACCGAATTTGTCAGTGTCTCTTGAACTCAACTCCTTGGCGTCTCTTAAAGTAACTTCGACCAAGATCCGTGATGTAAAAATTAGAAAATACAACTATGATTACTTGGAAATGGGTTTCACGTTCACTGGCCCTGAGCAGCAGCCTAAACATGTGTAGAAAAATAATTTGCTACGAAAGCCTTTCAAATGAGTGTATGAAGCCAGCAAAACTCCGTCGGCATCTTGAGACAAAACATCCAGAGTACAAGAGTAAGTCATTCGATTTTTTTTTAAACAAACTAGGGGAGCTTAAAAGATCTCGTAAAAACATTACTAAACACTATGGTGCAAATGTAAATGGAAATGCAACCCTTGCATCATATGAGGTATCTCAGCTTGTCGCTAAATGTGGAAAAAACCATACAATTGCTGAAGAACTTATACTACCATCAGCAATAATTATATGCAAGAGAATGTTGGGGTGATGCGGCTGTTAAGATAATAAGTACTGTTCCGCTCTCTAACACTGTCCAAAGACAAATTTCAGATATGGCCAATAAATTGAAGATACATTGCTGGTAAGACTTAGCATGAGTGACATGTTTGCTCTTCAATTGGACGAAAGCACCAACATATCAAAAAAAGCAATAATGTTGTGTTTTGTTTGATTTTTGTGGGAAGACCAGATATTGGAAGATTTTCTTTTTTCATGCGAACTACTTTACACAACATCAGCAGATATTTTTAATGCATTAAATGATTTTTTCAATAAACATGACGTCACATGGACAACATGTGTGGACTTATCTACGGATGGAGCAAAATCAATGGCTGGCCACAAAGCAGGACTTCAAGCTTGTGTCAAAGCAGTAGCTCCTGAAGTGAAATGGACACACTGTTGTATTCATCGTGAAGCCTTGGTAGCCAAAAATTGCCTGAACCTTTACAGAAGATACTTAACGAAGTAGTTCAAATTGTTAACTACATTAAAACTTGACCTCTGCAATTGAGATTATTTTCTTTGTTGTGCAAAGAGATTGGCAGTGAGCATGAACACCTTCTTATTCATACGGAAGTAAGGTGGCTCTCTCGAGGAAGGATATTGACAAGATTTTATGAACTTGAGATGAAGTTTGTGTTTTTCCTCTTGACACCAAGCATGCAGATATTCTCATTGACTTTTCTTGGCTTTGCTAAACTGCCTACTTAGCTGATGTGTTTGAATACTTAAATGTATTAAACTTAAGTTTAAAAGGGAAAAATGTAGACATGTTCAAAGTTGACGATAAGATCAGTGCTATGGTAAAAAAGTGCCAGCTGTGGGCGGCAAGGATTGAAAACAAGTCATTCACTAACTTTCCTAATTTGAAACAGTTCTTGGAGTCTGCAGAGCAGAGTTTAACTGACCTGATAAAGATCAACGCAGCCAAGCACCTACGCAGCCTAGCCACGAGTTTTAGGATATACTTCCCTGAACCTGACGATGGTTGGATTCGAAATCCTTTCAGCTGTCAAGCAATTGAACAAGGTAAGATGAAGGACATTTTTAATGGCGAGAAAATAGCAGACTTCTGGGCACCAGCACGCAAGGATTACAAATAATTTGGAGAGAAGGTCATGAAAAAAATCCTTCCGTTTGCAACAACCTATTGGTGTGAGCAAGCATTTTCTTCCATGTGCATCATGAAAAACAAACATAGGAATCGGCTTAACATGCAGTCAGATTTTAGGGTGAAAGTTTTAAGTTTGGAACCTAACATTACAGAAATAATGGATTCTAAGGTTAAATTCAACATATCTCATTAATTGAGGAGTGAAAATTAAAACTAATAATGTACTTGTGTAGGTATTCACAAATAAATCCTAAATAGCATTAGTTTGATTTATGTTTTTACATATTTTGGCTCTTTTCAGGTAACTTTAGGTTTGTTTATTTGCTATAAATTTGTTTGACTTTTATTTGTTTATTTGGTTCATTGACAAAAATCTACTTAACAATGACTAGATAAATAAATGCTACTAAATTTTAAAAAAACATTTGTAGGGACGGTATCAACCACAAAGGTGATGTTGTAATACAAATAAATGCTAAGTGATTTTAATTATTTTGAATTTGTTTAAAATAAAAACAACATGACTCACCTGTTTCACTAATTATGGCATCAATATACTTGTTTAAGTCCCTAACATAAGTTGTAGTTGCTTGTTTCAGTCTTGGTGTAGTATCTAGCTTTTGATTGTAAAACTTATTGCAATCCCTTTCAAAATAAGTATAACTAGAACTTACAGTTAAAATTGTAATTCTATCATTTTCACTTAATACTGATAACATTTTCTTAGCTAAAAAAAGTATTAGTGTTAAAGTTAAGACAAAAGTATTACAGAGGGATTATTTAGCTTAAAAAAGATAGTAACTATGGTCAAAAAATAGGTTTTTTCTGACCAATTTTTTCATTCTTCAAGTCTCACCAATATGTCACTAATATGTTGTTATATAATGATGAAAACAATAGAATAATTAAGACAATAACAAATATATTACTTACCCACAGCTTTCAGCAGAGTAAATTGCACAATGCTCATACTACCTCCTATATCTAGAACTAGAATTACGTTTTTCCTTTGATAGATATTTCTTTCAATATAGTTATTCCAAATATTTTTTTCATCACATTCTGTACAATGAAGAAATGGTGTTCTATGCAATCTTTGGACTTCAAAATCAGATATAAAATACTGTCTTCTTACACCATCAGACATCATACTCAATGAACTTTTCATTTTCTCTAAAACTGCATGAGACAATTGATCAATATGCAAAATATTTGTTAAATACAATGGGGAACAATCACTTACTATCAATTGAATCCAGGAAGTCTTTATTAAAACTGTTGTTGGCATAATTATTTCTAATTGGACCCTTTAAGAAACAAGGATTTATTGAAGAATTTAGGCTAGTGATATTTTCTTGCAATAGCTTGGCTTCAATTATGAGCTGACTACTCTCCAGACCTGAAAATATGTCTGTAACTTTTGTTTCCAACTTATGGGCTATAGTGTTCACAATTTTCAAGATGTCAATGGTTGGCTGCATAAACATGAAATTTTTGTACAAATTCTGTAAAAAATTAAGTTATGAACAAAACAGGTAAATGTTAGTGTGCATGCATACAAACAATAATATAATCGCCTTGGAAAGATCAGAAAATAGTAATAGGTAAACTAAAAAGATTACATAGCTTGAAGAAACAGAAAAATTTAGATTCCTAAGAGGATTCTTGTCAATTAAAAGTGTGACTTGAATTTGTAGATGATATTGTAAATTCACCTGAATAAATTAAGAGTTAAGAACAGTTATACTATTATAAAGAATAGCAAATCAAAAAACAACTTGGGATTAAGACCTAAATACATTAGAGGGACAATCAGGAATATAAACATTTATTTAACAACAATATTGAAAGAACAATAAATAGATTTCAAGCAGTAGAGCAAGAAACTCACAAATAAAGCTAAGTCAGAAACAACTGTTAGCCAAGACATTAGATCAACTAGACTGACAGAGATAACTTTTGTATCCCAGATAAAAGCAATTAAGTAAAACATTTTGTAAATGATACAAAATACATACTTGTATTAAAGGGACTCCCAATTCATTATTTTTGAGTCCATCAATTTCCCGGCTTATATTTTTAGCTATATCTTTTATATCCCACTGGCTGGTTCCACATGATGTTGATAATATAAAAATTAAAGTTACTAATTTAAATGATTCCATTTTATACAATATAAGTTCATGTTGGGCCAACAACTATAAAAATGTTAAAATAATATTATAAACTTCAGTTGTTTTACAATACATTATACAACACGGCACTCACAAAAATTAATTGTAAAAGGTGTTTACAATAAACAAAATAATGTACTTCTGACGGATACCTTAGAACATAGCGAAAAACTCTAATGCTGTCAATTAGATGTCACATAAAGTGACATCTGACATCTCGAATGGTCATAGAATAATCGTGAGCAGGGCCCTGATTCTAATTGAGATTTCGACTGAAAACATGTTGAAATCAATATGGCGACGTCGAAATGCGACTTTGCGAGCCTAGTGGATTTCAGCTGAACTAACCAAAGGACGTCACTAAATTTCGATTTATCGAAATTAATTTCAACTTCAAGAAAGTGGTTGAAATTTAATTTCGAGTCGAAATTAATCTGACATTACTAGCGGGACTGGGAGAAGCGAGGTTAGGTTCAGTTTAAGCGGTGTTGTTTTGTTTGATTGTTGCAACGAAAATTGAGGCAAGTACAGAAATTGTATGTGATTCGGCACATAATTGGTCGAAAACACCTATAAAAATAGAACTGCGGTACCTGGGGGCCCCAAGCCAGATGCTACTGATTATTTTTTAAAATATACTGTGGTGTAAAAATTAAAGAAATAAAATGTCCCAATATTAAAACTAAATTGGAAACCACAATTTTTGAATATATTCAACAGGCTGTAATGGAAGATAGAAATAATAAATAATTTGGTTGTAATAATTTATTTTAATTCTATACTCTTATTTGGAGATATAAAATAATCTTTAAACTCATCAAGAATTTTTAGAGCGGTAATGTATTGTTTTTAGTAATACCAATACTAAGCTGCAGTAAATTTAAAAATATAATATAACCACTAAGTCAAAAGCCATCATAATTTCTTTTTGGTCCACAGACAATTTAGTGCCACCATCACTAACAGCATCCATCCATTTTCTTTAAATTCAAAATATAATCATTGAGAATGGCCACTAAAAATTTAACAACTCAAACAAGAAACAAAAATCGTAAAATGTAAACAAAACAAACATTTAACAAGCGTACAGCCAATAAACAAGACGGCCAACCCAAATTCTGAGCAGTGTCAAAATGATAAAGTAAATGTCCCCACTTTTAACTAAAATCGAAATGAATGAGAATCGCTAGCGATTGCGACTGTCATGGCGTAGTCGCTTTTAAATTTCGACATCGAAATGAAATAGAATCAGGGCCCAGATCTCATTGCACCATGCTACTCAATGACGTATAATACACGTCATAGATACTACCCAGAGATATGTACTCTCTGGCACAGGACAGAAAACAATTGTTATTTGTTCTGTGACATTGACATCTCCAGGAAAGTTAAGATGTCAGCTCAGCTGTTTGATTCATATGCCGTATGATTCTCTATGCTGTATGCTGTATACTGCTGCTGATTCTGTATGATTCGTACGGATGATACTATGACTTCCAAGATAAAACCATTTCGCAATCGAATTTTGTACGTCGATGCGCATGATGTCACTTGGTGATAAAAGTTTATCTTAATTTAATATTCTGAAACATATTTTATCTAAAAGTGTACACATTTTTTTGCCAACGTACTATAATATAGTATAGATATATAGTATATAGATAAACGATAAAACAATACTAAATTTGACAAAACTAAATGCAAAACAGAACATTTTTGGTGACATTTGTCGCCAAGTGACGTCACATGTGCAAAAGAGATAGACTGATCGCGTGCGCATGGGTTTATCTTTAGTTCATAGTATCACGGAACACTAATCAATTAGTATTCTGTGATAGTAACATCAGAGAACCATGATACTAAGACTTCCAAGATAAACTCACTTCGCAATCGAATTTTGTACATCGACGCGCATGACGTGACGATCTTTTATCATCACAGTCGGTAAAACATATATGGAAAGAAAGGGTTTTTATTTAAATATTTAGAATATTAAGGGATGTTAGGTAAAATATCTGCAATTAAATCTTAAAAATATGTTATATATACATCTCTGTTAGCCTAGCAATGTAAACTAAAAGTATATAAAAAAGTAAGAACTAAACATCCTTTTGCAAATGGAAATTTATATACAATGGATTGATTTATTAAAATAAAAATTTAATACAACTGATAAAATAAAATACACTGTAATAATTTACAAGTTTATTTAACAATTTATTTTACAATTTTTAATATTTTCTTCTTCTTAACTTTGGATGTTTCTTTAATATATCTATTCAATTTTCTAATTTTAAAATATAATTTACACCTTTACTAACATTACATCTGAACACAGTTAAATCCATTAGCGATTTTAAATAATTCTTGGTTAATTTTAATGACCCTTTGTTAAAATTGTTAAAAATATGGTCCAGTTCATTACATTTAATTAGAAAATCTGGATATGGTTTAAGTAAACCTCCTTCGGAAAGATGGTTTACCCAGTAAACCGATGTCATCGTACAAGATAAACGATAAAACAAAACTAAATCTCAAGGTTAGTAGATATTTAAGTAGATACTTAAATATCTACTAACCTTGACTAAATCTGACAAAACTCCATACAACACAGAACATTTCTGGTGACATTTGTCGCCAAGTGACGTCACACGACTGATCGCGTGCGCGTGGGTTTATCTGTAGTTTATAGTATCATGTCAGAGAACTATTAATAGGAACGTGTTCGTAGTTCTCTGGTATCACGATTCGTCGCACCTGTATGATTCATAAATCATAGCCATTCGCATCACATTCATAGCTGTTTGATTCATATAATTGACATTACGTATATTGTTTACTTCCATAATTTCAAAATCTAAAACACGTTTTAACATAATTAACTAATTAAAAACAGTGTAGTGTGCAAGACATTTTTAAAACACAGTAGCCGTATATACGAATATATGTGGAGATGTTTAATGTAAATCGTCAACATGGTTCCTTATGGATCATTCTTTGCGGGAAGTCATCTGGCTGGCATTGACCAAACGGGATGGAGTATTCTGTGTCCAAACTAATAATGATGATATATGGATTTACAAATGACTTCCCGCAGAAACTTATTCGCAGGGAAGCCCAATTAGATACCATCAGCATTCAACTGGTATAATTTCTCTGCCGTGAAGTTTTGCGGCAGATATTTGGATCAGCTGTTACTTATCCATTACTTATCAGACCCACTTTGTGAATCTAGATGATAACAGTGCTCATACACAAATCATAGAAAGTGTTTAGATGGGTTCCAAGAGAAAGATCTGTCGACAATGAGGAACTTCCAGAGCTTAATTTCACGAATTTATGTGGAGGGAGCACATGAAAAATGAGAAATACGAATGTGTGTCCTAATTTGTGTTTTAGAACAATATTTAGTTTAGTTTAATGTAGAGCTGAATGCAGTAAATAATTTTTTGTTTTATTTAATTTAAGGTATTGGTCTTTTATATCATTTTAGTGCATTGTATGATAATGCATTTGATTTTTTTTAACTTTAATTCAATTATATTTTATGCATAAACCTTAATAAAAATCGATAAGTACAGGATCTTGTTGACTTTTTTGACGACCCCATAAAGATGTTTTGTGACTCCACATGGGGTTGTGGACCGCTGCTCCAGACTACATTTCCTAATAATTCCTAATAATCCAATAACCTATCAGGAGAAAACAACAAAATCCATTATCAATAAAACCTCTCATCCAGTTGACATAAAACATTCTTAATTCCCAGTGAAAAGTCTTCCAGAACACCTCGAATACCTAGCCTACCCAAAATTCACAAGCCCAATATTCCTCTACGTCCCATTGTCAGTGCATACACCTGCCCAACACAACCATTGGCCAAAACTCTACAACCTCTCGCTGAAAAGGCTACATCTTTTGTTAAAAATTCTTTTCATTTCATGGAAGTTCTTAAACAATTCTCACTGTTCTTAAAACAATAAGTTCTCACTGATGGTGAGTCTGATTAAACAGAATCGTTTAACTAATACTTTTGGATAATTTTAAAATTTAAATATACCAATTACAATTTATACTACATGTTTTTTTTAATAAAGGTAAAGCAGTGCACAATAGGGTGTCCCATCTTTGCATAAAATTTGTTTTTGAGCAAGAGGTATCCAAATTTGCGTAATTTTCCAGAGAATATGAAATAATTAACTACTATAAAGTTTTGTAAATTTTATGTTTGTACAGATCTAAATCATATACTCAAATAATACATAAATTAAATTTAGAAGATATTTTAGTGTTAAAATTAATGAAAAAGGTTCAAAACAACTTAACACACAAAATAGATCCTATATTTAATGAAAAAAACTTAAAATTTGAACTTATTTTTGTGTCCCAAATTTTTCATTTCTGCCCGAGACTCCAATCTGATAAAGCTATCTCTAGTAGTAGCATCAGTTACATTCTGCGAGGTCTCTGTAATAAGTTTAACACATCTTTCCCCAAATTGTGTGTGTCAGGGAAAGTAAAAAAAATCCAAGCTTTTTATCTTTTACCATGATGTGAAGGTCCTCAGTAGAAATATGACAAAGAACCGGCGGTGTTGTAAACTGACAATCTTGACATTCGTGCCACATTTTAAAATATCGGTGTAATCTTTAGCAGAGAAGTTAATTTTTGGTGTTTTAAATATTCTGTGTTTATCGCTACTTTCAGTGTCTCTAGTTTTTATTCTTTGCAATGCCAGCTCCCTAATGTGATCTCTATAATCAAACAACATACTTACAAGTAAGTTTTCTGGGTGGACAAAAAAAGCATTTCTTTCGATAACGGTATCCACAACAGATCTTAGATTTTCTGGTAGAAATCGAGAGTACATAATTAGTTGAAAAATATGCTTCGCTCTATCCTTAAAATACGCTTTTTGCTTAATTCTAAACCACCTTGGAGCATACTTTAACAACATAGTTTACAAACAGTTGTAAATTTTCTGATGGATTAAGCGTACTTACATAAAGTCTGAGTAGACGATTAGCAGTAGTAAGCCATCTGGAGTGCGCTATTTTTCCAGGTTGACGGTTTGCCAATTCAGGAGTACAGAAACCGGTTAATAATGCTTGACATATTTCATATAGAAATTTTTGATCTGTACTTAATTGATTGACTACATTTTTTGGCAAGTCAGGCAAATTACCATTCACAGCGAAAAAAAGTCACGGTGGGTTATGTTCATAAGCAACTAACTGTTTTCCAATAGCTCCGGAATATTCTCTATGACCCGAAGTAGAACCATTTATGGTCAGGAACAAGTTACGAAACAGTAACTCATTGACAAACGCACCATTGTAACGATCCTCTCCAAATACTCCTCTAAATATTGAATCACACCACCCTTCCAGCCAATATCAGTTGTAGTTCCATCACATCCAAGGCAAATAACATCATCCAAATTCAAATTTTGACCCTCAAAAAAAGTTGTGATCGAAGTAAAAATTACATTAGCAGTGCCACGACTAAAACTTAAAGTGTTTTTACAAAATCTCTTTGCGATGGTAACGATTCCCTATTTTCTCATTTATCAGGGTCTTGTCCTTTCGTCCATCAAAGTAAATGCTATTTACAACAATACCTGCAACATCTTTTGAAGCATCTCTTTGGGCTTTACATACAGCTCTGTGGATTTTGTTTTTATCAATAACCAATGTCAGATCTTCGGTAGAAATAAAATCCACGTCAACCAAAACGGCAGAAGCAAACAGCAGCAGCAGATCGCATCGATAAACCGTATCTATCACTGACTTTAGCAACTGTTGGCAACCGCAACGTATTTCTATTAAAGTCGACGGTGTCTCTGTTGAGAAAGAGTCAGGCACTGCTTCTTCGTCACAATTTGCTGATATAGAATCGGTCGTTTGAGTAGCACACAACTTTTTTGTTGCCCTCATTGTTTCTCTATTTTTCTCTGCTGTCGTTTTATGAATCTGGCAGTTTATTTCTTATCAAGACCACCTATAACCATTGTCCTGTCATTTCTTTGATCCAACAGAAAGTCTCTATCATTTGTGGGAACTTTTTTATGTTTTAAACATGAACAAGATTCAATAGAAATACATTTACATGCAGTAACGTCGAAAAGTTTTTCAGCTGACTACAAAATACTAAAACTGTTATTTCGTTTGCTTTTGGGGTGTCTTTACAAACTGAGGTACTTTTCGAAATAATATTTTAGTAACTGAATAATCCGTTCCTTAGCTACGATTGGAACCAAAGCTTTTGTCCAAATATTAATAACTTCTTCAGAAACAATGGCATATATTTCTGAATTAGATGGATCCTTTCCATTATACTTTAATTTTAGATCGTTCTTCACAAATAAAATACATTTCATAACATCTCTTATAGTTGGTAGCTGTCAATCGTCAAGTTCTTTGTAAGGTCCCATTATAGAACAAGTAGTCTCACTACGCCTAGAACTAATGATTTAAAACTCACAAAATCAGTTTTTGACACTAGAACAAACGCAACTGTAATGATGTTGAACGTCGAACGACGTGTCGACCACCCCGAGCCACCTTCTCCTTCTACTCGTCTTTCTCCTACCATCAAAGCAGAACTGACGTAACCAAAATTTACAGAATTCTCTAAACTTTAACGGAACGTATAATACGACGCAGTATTATACAATTGTACAGTACAATCTCAATTTATTTTAGTTCAGCAGCCGAAAAAATATTATCACAAAAATGACAATTTTTCCAAATTTTGAAGATCGGTAGAACCCTTAAGATATATTTTTATTGCATTTTTAAAAATACTGTGATAATCTATTAGCAATTTCATAAATTGTAAGAGGTGTTGCATTAAATAATGTTTTATATTTAGTTCAGGATGCGAAATTAAGTATAGTGAAATATTACCATAAAATGACAATTTTTCAAAACTTTCAAGTTTGGTAGAACCCTAAAGATATATTGCTATAATTCTTTTTAAATTATTGTGATAATTTACAAGAAATTACCCCCATTTTAAGAGGTCTTGTATTAAACAAAAACAAAAAGCGATTTTTCGGGACAGCCTAGTGCACAGCGTTCGCAAAAGCAGAAACAGATTTTCAAACATCGTTAAGGAAGTGGAAGTTCCTATTCTGGGGCAGTCTGTAGTGTAGTAATAAATAAATCTGTGAATTGACGAAATAATATTTATTTTATGATAATATTCAAAATTATTGGTTTCACTTTTGCACAAGATTGCTATTCGCTACAGCTCGTGAAAAGGGAATAAATCAAAATTTGGATAATTGGGATTAATTTGGAAATCGAAAATATCATCATCTCTTTACAGAAAAATTATTTAACGTTAATAACGTTATAGTTTTTCATTGTTTTACGTTCTAAAAAAATTTCGTGATTAATAAATAAGACAGCCGCCATCCCTTCCTCTACCACCAAAAGTAATTTTTTTTTATTTTTTTCGATGTCAAAAATTAAAAAAAAAAACTGTTCATTTAAGGGTTTTTTGGGGATATTCTCCAGTTTATAGACTTCGAACGAAACCAAATCAAGGTGTTTTATAGGCTATACATAATTTGAAGCAACTGGGTCCTTTAAAACCCCCAAAAATTGGGCGAAACACCTTAAAAGCCCCCCAAAAAACCATGGTTTTTGCAGGGTTAATTATATTTTTGAGAGATCAATATAACCTCAATAATTTTTTACGTTTTATGTGGATAAAAAATAATAGTCAGCGGAATTTTAGGTCGCTCTCCGCTTCCCCTTTCCCCGAAAACAATAATTTTTCGTTTTTGTTTTTCTTTTCGCTAAAAAACTTTTAAATTTTCAAAAAATTCACACGCATAATTGAAGCTTCTACAAAACTTGTATATCTTTTATAGACCAGTATGTGTAGTGTTGTACATTTTTGTACGTTTTTGTTTCAACAGCATGTTTTGTAGCAACACAACCCTACAAAAAGTAGTAATATATAAATTCAGATCTAATTAATTTTTGACCACACCACTGTTCAAACTTATTACCTTTTCACGTTGTAGTAAATCAATAAAAAAATCAATTCACATTTTAAATAAGCAATGAAATTAAATTGACAGTTTAATTACATAAAAATAATTTAACGATTAACTTAAAAATTATAATTTAATCAACTTTAAATTCACAATGAGGAAAAATTAAATTTAACTTTGATCCATCAAGAGACAGTCATTATGGGAAGTTGTATCTTTTTTAACTGCCTCAAATATTGGTACCAAGTCAGGGGAATTCTTGATTTGGCTCACAAATTCAATCAGGTGTGGATTTTTATCTAAAAAAAAAATAAACTGAATTATTATATCATAAAAATTGTCGGCCACTCGCAGTCTCAAGTTATAGGAATAAAGGAGTAGGATTAGGAAAGTTGACATGTAGATCCCAGATTAAAGAAATATTTTTTTATTTAAAGAGACTTATTATTACCTGCATCTGGTATGCTCAGAAGAGCTGCTACAGCTCGCATAGCTGACTTTTTCAGTTCGTCTTGTTTTTCATACTCTTGTTTGACAGAATTAGCTTTTACTTTCATCGTCAGTGTAGCTCTAAGGGGTTCAACTAATTTATCCAACACTAAAACAAGTTTATCTTTTTATTTTACAAGTAAAAAGTAGATCTAAACAAAATAGCCATATTTTAAAAATATTCTTCGAGATATATAAAAGGAAAATAAGATATTTACTCTGAAATACTGCTCCTGGACAAATCTGTGACAGTCTAGCTACCATAAGGTATGTTAACATTTTAATATCATAATGATCTTTTAATCCGGTTTCTACGTGATTAATGAATTCAAATATATCAACTTTGTCGAGGCAAGAGTCTAGCAATGTGTACATGCATTCATATGCTGCTTTTCTAATATCCAAACCATCATCTACTGTGTGTTTGAAAGGTCCCATTTCCACTTCTCTAATCAAGTCTCTCTACAACAAAAAATTTTATGTTCAAATATTCTCTGACTTCCCTCATCATTCTCTTTGATAAGAGTGATGAAGGAACGAGAGTAATTATGAACATTTTAATTTAAAATGGTAAGTTCTATTTAAGTACAAGTATAATATATAAGTTGATATACATGGTGTCCAATTAAATCCGCACCATATAGAAATGTTATTTTTAGATTTATGAAAAAGTTATGAATGATCTAAAACTTAGAATATTATATATATATATATATATATATATATATATATATATATATATATCTATATATATATGTAAAGAATTAAATCTTTTAGCGAAAGCCGCTATCGCTTTATATATTAAATGACCTAGGAGACAAATTCGTTAAACTTCCCGTGCTCGAATTGGTATCGAGCACTATAAATAACAATTTCTACTGATAGTAGGTAAGAGAAATTGTAAATGGGAGCGAAAATAACAATACATAACCTTTCAAAAACCTAGGGAAGTATTTTGTTTTTTAAAAAGCGGAAGTTAATAAAAGATGGATATCAATCATATGCTCTACTGGAATTATATTATGTTTAATGATGTTTTGGAGGCAGTTGAAGATCTTCAAATTGGCCGGGATGTCCTCCAACCAACGGACCCATTTCTTTTGTCAGATAGAAAATTTTTACAAATTTTAAAATATATTTTGGAATATTCAAAGGTAGCAATAGTAGCAGGGTAGCAGTTAAGATTAAACTGCTCCAAAAAATCACTGCTTTTTGTCACCGTGACAATACTGGAGCAGTCACATTTTGTCACAGCTACACAAAAATCGCAGGTTGGCCCACCACTAAGGGGAGTTATCAGGTTGACGGTTGACAGTATCTTGTCCTTTGTCAATAATTAACTTTTGTGATTGGTTAAAATTTTCATTGAAAACCCGGCAACACTGTTCATAGTTTCTCTCATTCCTTTCTACTCCCCGTATTCAAGAATACAGCTTTTTAAAATCGAGAGAAATTATGATGGAGTAGAAAAGCGAGTTAGCTTAGTGGGGAGTAAAATTTTCTCTCGATTGAAGAATAAGTCCCCAGCTGAGTTTTATTATTCATGGCCCCTGTTGCAAAACTTATAAAAACGCACAAATTTGACACAGTGGACTTTCCTGGTAAAAAAACATGTTTTTCTGGACAGAACCTATCTCCAAAGTAATTCAAAATATTGTTATAAAGCACATTCTCGAATATTTTAGCAATTTAATTGATGACAGATATAGGCCTATAGTTCTCAACGTTACCAGCATTACCAGATTTAAATATAGATGTTATAACTGCATGCTTTAGCTATCTGAAAATTTACTTTGTTTAAAGGACAAATTAAAAATTAGTGTCACAGGGACAGATAAAGTCTCTGCACAACCTTTAAAAATGTATGCTGGTATATTGTCATTACCTGTGGCCTTGGGAATATCCTGACAGCCACTTATGTCCACACCCCTATAAGAGACCTCTGTTCTAATTGTATTAATTACAGCACGGGGTTTTATAAAGAACCAAAAGCTACTAGGGTCAGTTTGTACATTATTCTCAATATTTTGAATATTTGATGAATATCTGAATATTTGAAGAATACTGGGAGGAACATTCAGTGGCATCTGTGAAAGCGGTTTGGAGGCTTTTACAACAATGACGTAATATCTATCATAAAAATAGGAAGACTAAGATAGGCAGGGCATCTAGCAAGATCACACAGAACAACCATACCAGGCGAATCCTTATGTCACAGCCAGTGGGAACTAGACGAAGAGGTAGGTCAAGACCTATATGTTAATTTGAGATACTTATATTTTTTAAATATAACCATGAAACTTCCATGATTAAGAAATATTTTCTATAAATATGATTATTCTACATTAAAAAGAATACTATATTTACTATACAATGACACACACACACACACACATATATATATATATATATATATATATATATATATATATATATATATATATATATAAATGACAATTTGGCTTAGGTCTTATAATAATAGGCATTATTAATTTTTTTTCTAAACGTGGCAACACTATATGACACTAATTTCGTCATTGCATTCCGCCATTTGAAAAGAATTCTTATTCCCCAGAAATAAACTCGCCATACTGATTTGGTAATGTATAAATTTTTTGGCACCTAGTATCTTTAAACAATTTAGCTTTAATTATTAAACAATTTTCAAAATCATTGACTGAGTTACTATTTTTTGCATAGTCTTGTTACGATTGAGACAATTGTGTATTTGTTAGTGTTTCATGTAAAAAATGTCGCATCTTTATGTCGTACTCTTATACCACAGAATAATAAACAATCAGAATGCCCACACTGCTTGAAAAAATAAGTACGCGCATTTCGTTCGCGCAAACAGAATCAATCATGTTTTAGTCGGAACCAGTGACATTTTATCTTTTGTACATAGAAAAATTCACCAGGTTTAATTTATTTACAGCAACTATAGAAATAATATTCACTATTGTATTCGTACTTTTAGTTGAAGAATAGATTAAATTATTTCAAATGTACTAAATTATTAATCTCTGAAAATTTAAATTACAGTTCTGTCGTAGCTTGTCACAAATTTCAATTCGAGTCTATGTTTTCGTTTAAAATATGGCGTGCTGACAAACTTCAAAATTGGCATTTGAGAGTGGCCATTCTGATTGTTATTTAATATGTGCTTATACTATGTAATTTCTTTGGTATAACAATCCCTCTCTGTTGACAATACCAAAGAAAGCACCAATGTCTAGCCTTTGCAGACGATGTAGTAATACTGGCTCGAAGCAAATGGGAGCTACAAGAAGTAGTAAAGAGGCTAGATAGAGAGGCAAAGAAAATAGGCTTAACCATCAACGAAAGTAAGACAAAATACATGGAATGGATAGATGACAGTGAACAAAAAGGAGGAAATCTAAAAATAGAAGTAGAGGGTGAAAAAGCATATATATTTGAAGCAGTGGAAAGATTTACATACCTGGGGTCGATGTTCACATGCAAACCAAATATTAGAGAGGAGCTCCAATCAAGAATAATGGCAGGAAACCGATGCGTATACTCCTTAAACAGGCTATTAAAAAGTAAACAGATATCTAGGAATGCCAAAATAAGGATTTACAAAACAGTTATACAACCAGTGGTAACCTACGCCAGTGAAGTGTGGACACTGAACAAAGGCGAAACAGGTATGCTCGAAATATGGGAAAGAAAGGTTTTGAGAAAGATATTTGGAGGCAAGATAGTAGACAATACATGGAAAAGAAGAACAAATAAAGAATTAGAAGATATGTACAAGAATCCTAGTATAGTGGGAGTAGTAAAGGCTCAGAGACTCAGGTGGCTAGGGCACATAGAAAGAATGACAAATTCTCGAGTACCAAAAATGATTCTGATGCATACAATGGGTACAAAAAAAAGAAGAGGAAGGCCGAGAAGTAGATGGAAGCAAGAAGTAGAGAAAGACCTAGAAACACTGGGAATAGAAAGATGGAAGGACAAGGCTAATAATAGGAAGAAATGGAAAACAATAACAGCTCAAGCCATGGGCCTACTAGGCTCGTAGTGCTATTATATATATATATATATATATATATATATATATATATATATATATATATATATATATATATATACTATGTAATTACGAAAATATATTTTAAAATATAACCTTTGAATATCTTTTATTGATACAAATATAATTAAAAGATTTTCAGCATCTTAATATAAACGTACCTTTATTATAGTTTCTCCATATAGTTGTGGTAATGTTGTGTCCAGCAAATCTCTAATAAGCGATGGTTTATTATGTGCTGCTGTATTGAATGCTACCAATGCAACTCTTCTTACGTTTAAGTCTGGATCCTGTAACGTGTTTAAGAACTCGCCAATGCATTGTCTCAATAATGGGTCAATTGATGCGGGCTAAAATTAACATCAAAAGTTAGTGATGTATTAACGATGTACGTTATATATATATATATATATATATATATATATATATATATATATATATATATATATATATATATATCGAGAAAAGGAGTACGACCGTCAATCCAATATAAAATAAGGATCACTCGAAGAGTGGCGGGTTTTTCGGTCAAGAATTGGAGAAAAAAGACAAAGATGATGGCTACTTCATCTATTTATTGAAAACGTTTCGCTATCCAATTTGATAGCATCATCAGTTTATCTAAAAAGAACAATATGAAAAACCTAACATCCAATGAAAAGCTATTAAGTATGTTACCTCAAAAACATGCTACTGCTATGACTGCTACATATCTTTTTGAGATAACATACTTAATAGCTTTTCATTGGATGTTAGGTTTTTCATATTGTTCTTTTTAGATGAACTGATGATGCTATCAAATTGGATAGCGAAACGTTTTCAATAAATAGATGAAGTAGTTTTTACAATTATATTTTAAATCACCCTGTATATTTATAATGTGTAATTTTATTGTGTTTTTATTGTTTCTTGGTTGTTTTTGTTTTCTATTTATTATATATTTTTTTTTGTTATATTTAATTACATACTAGTGACTAGATGCTTTTGACTAATACTGTCAGTACTGTTTTGAATATTATGTTCAACATTTTTAAATACTTTAACTCTTAATCTGTAAGTAAATTCATTGTTTATTGTCACCTGTTATGTATGTAAAATTTTAACCATATTTTAGTTATCTCCTGAAGAAGCTGACAAAAATCAGCGAAATATAGAGTAATAAAAGAAAAAAGAGTTTTTTTTTTAATAACAGACCGCATACCTCCTACTCCAAAACAATATATTATATATGACCTTTTTTTGGTTAATTATTCAGTTTGTAAAGAATAACAAACTTACCTGATCGGAAATGGTAAATTTAACAGCTGTCACTACTGTAGTTCTAGTTAGAGGTGATGGTGAATTTAGTGAACGTTTCAATTTTGGTAGGACGTTTGTAGGATCTATTAATGTTAATTTTCCTAGACACTCTGCCACTACGTTTCTTGTTCCTTCTTCAACACACTCACAGTGTCTGTATAACTGCTGCCAAATTGGGGTGACGAATGGAAGCAGCTGCTGTATTCCGTCTGGTGTTTGCGACAAGCAGGTGATTACCTAATAAAAAAGCAACGTCTATTTACATCTTGCACCACAAAGTGCTACACATTATACGTATGTTAAGTTTGCCTTCCTATTAAGACATAAATAAGATACAATATGAATTGCCTTACCTCTTTTAACGAATGCAAAAGCAAGTACTGCCTCCTGGGTTGTTCCTGGCTTTCTTTTAAAATGAATGGTAAATATTGAGGCAGGTTACCAATGCATATACTACCAAGAGCATAACTGGCAGCTGACTTGACTTCTTCTGATATAGCGGAAAATGACTGAAATATAACTTGCTTCAAATTTGAAATTGACGTTAAATCGCTAAAACAGAAATCAATATAAGTTTTTAATAGGGGTTAAAAAGTTTAACTACTTTTAAAGTACAAATTTTTGCTTTTTCGGTCTGCTAGGCATATTTTCGTCGATAAAATATTTCCAATCTTGATATTGAGATTAACTTGAAAATAAATCTTCAAAATGTTCAATACACTTCACGTAACGTTTTTCGATTGAATTACTAAAGCGAGCAAGCATGGCGAGATCTCCATTGATGACATCTAACTCGATTGTTTTCCAATGCTTGAGATCTTCGATGTTTTCGACCTTCGCGCAAAAACTCATGCTCCTAGCAGGCCCCAGATTCATAAATCTATAGGAGTAATATCTGACGACCTTGGAGGCCACGATTCGTTGCCACGTCTATCAATCCATCCAGGGAAATGCTGGTTTAAGATAATCTAGCTTCGTAATCTCGATCCTGACAGGAAAACTGTTTTTTTTTATTAACAACAGGTTGTTTTTCGTTCGTTTCGAGGTCGTCTAGCATACCCACTTATGTCCACCCCTGTATTAATTTTAAAAATCACTTGTTTTTAAATTTACATCAAAACTTACATTTTCCTACCAATTTCTCCTACGACCAATAAAGCAAATATTTGTTGTGAGTCTGTTGCTGCTGTTTGAATCTCATTGATAAATTGTGGAACTATTGGGTGAGCCTGTGAATGGCAAGTAACTGTGATGACGGCAACACACTTGGCGAGTGAATAAAATGCTTGCTTGTGAAGAGTAGCTGATGGATTTACTGAGAGATTCGATATTGGCATCAAAAGTAATCTTAATAAATGATCATAGCTCAAGTCTGGAATGTTGCACACGACCAATGACTTGAAGAAGTCCAACATGGACTGTAAGGCGGTACCTGAAACCAAAGTTATTTTGTTTCAACTAAGCAACGTATTCTCAATTTTCGACAAATAGCTTCATGTAGTATTGGTTATAGAAAAATGTCTAATTCTCAATTTTTAGGATCTTTAGAGTAAGTTTATTACGGAAAAATTAGGTAAACCATTAATTAATGCCAAAATAGGTTCGTTTCTTTCTTGCTTTATCTTCACAAACAATATGCCTAATGTACGCTAAAAAATTTTCATGACCGAACTTCAAATAGCAAGAAAGAACAACAAAAATATTTTGAAAAATTTAAACGCAGAATGTAGTATTATTACTGAGGGCAGAAAGTCCTGAAAACTTCTACAATGTTTATTTTAATATGTTATGTAACAGGGGTGAAAATAAAAGAGAACATACAGTATAATTTTTAATTGAAAATATTGCATGCAAAAGAAACTTTTTATTTATTCTAATAAATATTTCATTCTGCCTTTAAATTTTTCAAAACAACTTTTTAGTTTTCTCAGGATTTGAAAAAAAAAAAATGGATACATTTAAAACACATTGAACATTTTGACAGGCGACATTTTGCGCCTTTCTCCTTTAATACCTCACGATTACAACTACTATTACTTATCTTATATAATTACGATTAGAAAACTATTCAAATTCAAAATAAATAGGATCAACTTCGGAATCCGAGTCGTCTTGAGGGTTAATAATTAGCGGTTGTGTCTCTACATTCGCATCAATTATGTTATCAAGATCCCACATTTTATGTTCTTCTTATATTACATGTCTTACTGCATCTTTCCAGTTTTGTTCTGTAATATGTTGTAAAGACTCGTATAACAATTCACGTACAGCTTGTATTTTATATGACGTATTTTTTCTAGCCACATAACGTTTCATTTGTGCCTAAATGAGTTCAATTGGATTTATTTGGCAGTGGTAGGGTGGAAGTCTAAGGACTGTGATGTTTCGCCTTTCCGACATTTTGTCAACTACGTATTTCTTGAACTTAGATTTATGTTGCCGGGCAATTTTTAAAAGTTCTGCTTTTACCATTCCATCTTCATGAGGCAGATACTTATTCCGCAACCAGTCAAGAATATCCTGTTTCTTCCACGCAGTCGTTGGAAGTCTTTCTACTAGTCGTGAATGATAAGGTGCATTATCTAATACTATAATTGAATTTGGTGGTATGTGTTCAATCATCTGCTCAAAATACTCTTCGAAAACATCAGCTGTCATCTCCTCGTGATAGTCTTTTGTACTTTTGAACTGAAATTCCAACAAACCATGCTTAACAAATCCTTTTTCACTGCCAATGTGAGAAATTATTAATCTACTGCCTTTACCAGAAGGTGGGGAGATACCAGTAGACCAACCTTCCATAAAGGCTTGCCTGGAGCTTAATATATTTTTATCTGACCAAAATTTTGTTTAGAGTATGACCTGAGTTTACCCACGTTTCATCCTGGTAGAAGATTGGTCTTCCTTCAGCCCGGAATTTTCGTATGGATCTTAGATAATTTCTTCTCCAACATATTATCTCCTCCCGGTCAATCAAAACTGATTTTCGGTCTGATTTCTCCCACCGGAAATTTAATTCTTTTAAAACTAGCCACAATTTAGTTCGTCCGATATGAGGCAAATCCGGGTCGTATCTAACTTCTTGTAAAATTTTGTTTAGATTTGGTATTTCTTTTTTGAAAAAAAAAATCCATGAATTTTTCTTCGAATACCATTTTTGGCAAATTCATCAATTTCAATAGGATTTTTCCCTCTCTTTAAGTGTTCGTTTGTGTCTGGGTTAGCTATACCGTGTTTTTTTCTTTCTGATAGGAACCTATATATAGTTGACTCCCCTACGACAGTTATGTTGGCACAACTTTCGACTATGTTGCGAACAGTGTTTGTGGGATTCTGAGAAACCAGAGCATGGTGAAAATTCAGGACAATAGTCTTCTCTCTTGGTGAATAAACAGACTTACTGACTGTAAGCAACAGTACCGGTGTAAAACTTGATGATGTTGATGATGAAGCCATCACAAACAATCCAACAAAACGAGCACGAGCGAAAAGTACGTATATGTTTGTAGTTATATGGAATAACAAATCACTCACGCACTGCATATAATTCGCAAAAGAAATATTCGAGACGCTAATTACTGCCGTAGACGCGGAAACACCGACGAGCGGTAAACTACATGCGATCAAAAACGTACTAAACAAAAAATTGTTTTCGTTCGTAATAACTTCACCCTTTCAAGTTAAGTTTCGAATATAAACTGAACAGACGAGGCACGTGGCCAAAGCCGGCATCTTTATACCCATTATATTATTAAAAATCTGGGGAATTCCATCCTAATTATCTTGCAACGAATAGTACCTTCGGATATGAATTCCAGGTTTTCTAGTAAAGTGATTAAACGCGAAGATTAGTATTGAAATATCCAAAGGGATAAGGTATTCTTATTTACAAAATTGTTAATGGTTAAATTCTTATTTTTATTAATATAATATAATAACCAACATTAGCCGTGAAAGTTTTAATTGTTTTTTGCTAAATATATTAGTATTAAAACATTATTAATATTGATAAACATTTTGGAAAGGAAAATAAATGTAATACGCATCAATTTTAATGAATAAACACCCCAGGAACGCCTATGACGATACAAATTTTACGACCGTATTATGACTTTGAGGCACATTTCGTACTCTCAACAATTTGTGAACGGATTATAGTAGATTATGTAAATGTAATGTTCGACGATTTTAATTAGTGTCTTGACATTTCTATTCCAAAACAAAAATTAAAATTAAAATCTAAAAACGATAAAATTCCTTTCTTAAATCATTTAAAAGAATTATAAAATATAAGAAATTTAAACTGGTTAGGTAAACAAATCAATGATCCACAACTTGATGTAAAATACAAAAATAAAAAGAAAATGCTAGATAAACAAATTATAATGGAAAAGAAAAAATATAATGCAGGTTCATTCACAACTCCAGTAATAAAACTAGAGCACTTCGAATTTTTAGATTTAAATTTTAATCAGCTTATGCTAATGTTGCCCCCAATTTACCTGTTTTCAAGTCTATTATGTCTAAATCACTCTGAAACACCCCTGAGTGTATTAAATGTCCCTGTGTATATAAAAAAATAAAAAAGGATATAAATTAAAAAAAAAAAAGAAAAAAGCAGAATTAGTAAATAAATCGAACCATGAGTTTAGTTTCTGTTACAATATATCAAAAACTACCAGTGGTTGGTCCATTCACTCAAAAAAAAAAAATTTGAACGATTTTAGTTTGAAATTATTGTTGAAACTTACCTTGCAACAGTGGCGATTTCACAAGTACTAAAATCTGTGGCATAATAGTATCATTGATGTTCAGCAAGGCTTTAGGATGATACACAGCAATAGCTTTTAAAATAATAAGGGTCCATTGAGCAATGTGAAGATCAGATTCATCGAGTAACGGTGGTATTTCTACTACAATATGTTTTAACAAATTTTCGTTTAAGTCTTTGTGATAATTTTTGATCAAACAGTCTATTAATTGCAGCGTAGTCAGTTTTAAAGCTCTCTGATTTTTTCTTAAGAATAGTCCTAAGATCGGCATTGCATCCGGCAATATGGGCAACTCAATACCTAAAAAATAAACAAAATCAAGTACACAGTAGAGCTAAGCAGTTCTAAATGTAAGCTGTTCATAAAAAAGTACAGTGAGTGATCAAATTATTATAATCACTTCAAAAAACTTTGTATTTTGCTGTTTATTAAAGAATAAAACTGCATATAAGCACCTAATGATGTGAATATAATATAAAAATAGATCATAAACACGTTATTTTACAAAATCTTAAAATATTTTTTTCTTTGACCTTAAATAACAATTTTTTTTAATATTTTGTGTGACCTCCTTTAGCTTCGATGACAGCTTTGATCCTCCTTGCCATGCTTTGAATGTTTCTTAGAGAGTCTTCTTTTATTTTATCGTTTCTGTGCCAGGTGATAATGAGTCTCTCAATTAACTGCTGCTTATTTGTGACAATTTCCTGGGCAATCCCTCTCTTCATAAGCTCCCATAGATTTTCGATCGGATTGAGGTCTGAGGAATTACCTGGCCACTTCAAGTAGTTTAATTTTCTTTTTTTCCAGGTAAGATGTTACTGTTTTTACCTAACGGCACAGTGCTGAATCGTGCATTAAGGTAAAATCCTCCGATTCGCCAAACCAAATCTTTGCCAAAAATTGACGATTGCCAAATCCGTCTTTGATTTGTGGCATGAGCTTTCTTTCCAGAACTTCAATATACTGATATTGATTCATTATTCCATTCACAATGTACAGCTTCCCTGTGCCCTTACTGCTGATCACAGACCATACCATGATCTTGAGAGATTACATACCACTATGCAATCCTTGTGATATTTTTTATCCACTCGCCTTCGGATTAAGGCCGACTTATCCATGAGTATCTCTACTGTAGAGATTTAAACTTTAGTAGTGACGTAATTTACCTTATTCCAATCCTCAGTTGTCCAATTTTGGTGTTCTTTGGCCCATTTCACTCTCTAATTCATCATTCGATCATTTTCAAATCATGTCGCATGGCGACATGATTTGAAACCTTGCTCAGCAAGCCTTCTGCGGACTGTCATGTCAGAAACTGGCATCACAGGTTCACGAATAAGCTCGTGAGGATTTTTCTTGGCTTCTTTCTATTGTTTACGAAGATATCCCTCATTTTTCTTTCGTCTCTGGGTGTAGTGACACGCTTTCGACCACACACTATCCGACGTTGGAAAAGCATTTTATTCAATAAAAGTGTCTTTATCCTTACCCATTATGATTTTCTTCTCAAAAATCGAAATGTTTTGCAAATGTCTTTAAATTTAAAACTGATAGCTTTGTTTTTACTCACAATCACCACTAATACATTAATAAAATATACTACAAAAATAAAACGATACTAATCTTTCAAAAACAATACAAAAACATACAAATTCAGTTGAACTCCAAGCGCAAATTCACCACAATGTGTATGTTGTCACGTAATTTGACACAAATGACAGCTTTAGAGCTGTAAACGTCAAAAAAGTAAGGTTATTGGTGACAAAATATATTGGCAGACCTTAATCGTATAGCAGCATATGATTTTATTATAAAATTTTTGAACAAATTTGAAAACTTAAACTTTTGTGACTGATCATAATAATTTGATCTCCCACTGTAATTAATAATATTGAAAAACTTAATAAAAAATACTTACTTAAGGGAGACCCAGCTATTTTTGTTAGGGCTTTGACGGTTGTTAGTCTAGTAATCTCATTTTTCAGTCTATCAAGGAACAACGGTAAGCAATAAGGTAGCTCAGCTTTTAAGTGATCACCTAAGTTACAAATTACTTGTCCCATCGTAGATATTGCTTTTTCCTTAACCTCTTGATCTATATCTGCAGTTCTTAAGCGTACTAAAGTACAACTGTAAATATCTTTGGTAAATGGCGTGAAGTCAAAACCAGAATTAACGTTCAATGGCCGAATTACTTTTACCAATTCTTGCAGTACATTCAATGCTTCAGCGGTGATCTTGTAAAAATTATCGCCAACGGCACTTATTACTGGAGGTAGGAGAGTGCTGATATATGGATGAAAAACTTGCGGTTGGTGACTGGTTAACAAACAATAGATAAATGACAATGCATCAATCTTCATATTGCTACTAGCATTCTTTTCACTTACAGAGTATAGTATGCCAGGTATCAGGTCCCCAATATGAGTACTCAATGCTCCTGGAAGAACAGTACAAAGTTCCTTTAGTAAATGGAAGCAGTCCTGTCTCGTTTTGATGCTTTTTTCACGCATTTGACCCTGTACACCGTTAACAAGCATTTCTATTTGCTGCTGAAGAAGTATCATAGGCGACTCTTCCTCATCATCCATAACCATAGCATTTGGATCCATACTTACGCTTACTGTTGATTTAGTTTGTTTGAGAAGAGCTATGTAGGCATGGAAAATATCGGATTTCACGTTTTCTTCTCTCTCTACACAGACAAAAAATATAATTATTGGTATTTTAACATTAGAGTAGTATTAATATTACAATTATTGTTCTAATTATATAAACACAATTATTATGTGTGGAGGTTATGTTGATTGTTTGTTTATGATTAGTTGGAAGAATTTTTGGAGTTTTAACTAGTTTAAAGGGTGCATTTTATTGTGTAAACAGCTTTAATTGGTTCCGTGTCTTGTTTCCTATTCATAAAATTGAAGTCAACTATGCAATTACAACAATATTTTTTGTTTTTGTACAATTTTAAAATCCTAACTTATAATTTTAGGCACATGTGATAGAAGCAATAAATCATACATTTTTAAGGTATCAAAGTCTTACTTTGTCTTATTTTAAAAAGATTATCGAATAATCTCCTTGCGATTATTGCTAGTTGGTATTGTTATTGTGTAGAAATGGTTCCAATGTAAGAGCTAAAGAAATTAGAGAAATAGTGATGCCAAATAGAATAATATGTGTACAAGGATTGCACTCCCAAAATTAAGAATTTGATTGGGCTCTCAGCACGAGTAGATGTTTTGGAGATATAGAAGTCATAGAAGTTTTGGAGTGTTCATGAGCTTTTAACAGTATTTATTAATAATATTATTTCTAATTCACAGGAAATACCATCATTTCTTACTCAGGGAACCACTTATCTAATACCGAAGGATCAAAATAACTCCCAAGATCCAGCCAAGTACCGCCCAATTGTCTTCCAACTTTGTACAAATTGGTCACATCCTGTGTGGCCCGGCGTATCTACCAATACTGTGCTCTGAACAATATTAAAGAGCCTCAACAGAAAGGATGCGCTGAGGGCTTCAAAGAACAACTTATTATCGGCTCAAGTCATTTCTAAACAGGCATACACAAAAAAAAGAAGACCTTTTACTGCTTTCATTGACTACAAGAAGGCATTTGATTCAGTGCTGCATGAATGGCTTATAGATATATTGAAAATATATAAAGTCGATGATAATCTCGTGACCTTTTTGAAGCATATAATAGCAGAGTGGAAGACTAAAAATTCACCTTCAAATACCTGGTGAAATTAATATCGAAACTGAAGATATCCCTATTAACCGTGGCCTTTTCCAGGGGACTCGTTGAGTCCACTTTGGTTCTGCCTAGCGATGCTAGGCAGAACTGGCTGCTGGAAAATAACAACACTGTTGTGTCGAAACTTAATCATCTGTTGTATATGGATGATTTAAAATTAATGGCTTCCACTCGAAACCACCTAGATCAGATGCTAAAAACTGTAGAAAATTTCTCTAATGATGATATCAGTATGCATTTTGGACTAGGCAAGTGCCGTATACTAAATATAGTCAGAGGAAAGGTTCAGCCCGGAGGTTTTGATATGCAAGATGGCCAAAGCATCGAGGCAAAGGCATCAAGGCCGTATTCATTTCTGGGCTCAGGTATGTGTTTATTTGAGTGGCTGTGAAATGGGTAGTCAACATTTTGATGTGTAAAACTAAATTATGTGATTGTTAGTGATGTTTATATTTTATTTTGTTTTATTGTATTTTTAATTAGCACAAATATAAATTGAATCTTTTCTTTGAAATACGTATATTGGAATATAATTATTGTAAACATTGTTAATCTTACTGGGCAGCAGTCAGTTAAAAATAAATAAACATTGTATTATGATCTTTCTTTTACTCAAATATCCCTGTTTACAACTACATAATGTCTTATACCACTGTATTTTATTTACCTTTAAATCGAGCAATCAAAGCAGGTGACAAAACTTTATAAAATTCGGATAGCAGTTCATGACGCGTTGAAATAATAGCTTCTAGACATTTCGCAGCGGATCGTCGCACTTTCCAGCTCATATCATCATCATCGCTATATTCATCATTTTCTTCATCCTCCTCATCATCGTCATTTGGGTCATTTTGGCCATTGGCACTTTCATCTTCATCATAGTTGTAGTTAGGATCATATACCATATATTTCAAGCATAAATCTGTTATCTATATAAAAAAAGTAAAACAAAATACAATAAATTTTAATGTTTTGACTCATTATTTTGATTTAAATTATATTATTTAATTCCAAATACGTAAAAAGGCATTAGAGGAAATACTTTCGATAACTTAATGAACAAAGACTATCCCAGAGAACTAGGACAACCAGTGGTGACAGTAACAGCAATGATGGTCACAATAATAGATGGAAGTGTGGATAGTGAGCGATTCATATGTGCAGACATCACAATTGATGACCAACAACTTAAGTGGGAGAGTTCCCGGGAGCTGGCTGTAATACCATAGTAGTTAAAAAACTTCACAATGAAGTAAAAACTTCTAGTGTAATTGGTATGAGGAAGTGGCGTTCAAAAAAGGATTTGTCACAATACGACAACAATTTAATGGAAGCACATTGAAAAACAGACATTCATGTATACATAAAAAGAAGAAGATGAATATTTACAACATAATTTTAATTGAGTTATACATATTTGACGTGTGTGAGATTTTATATTTTTAAAATAAATAAACAGTATTGGGAATTCAATAAGCTGACGAATCTTTCTCAGAAACGGGATAATTTGGTTTTATATTTATTTGTTCAAAAGATTAAAATTTTTTTAAAATTTTACCATCAATAAAAAAGTATCTCAACCTATTTTATACCAAAACTTGTATATATTGTAAATACAAGTAATTATGCTCAATTATCCAATGTTTCTTCTTTTGGTAATTAATATTTATATTAAAGATCCTTACCGATAAAATATTCTTGGTGATCTCTTTGGGACATCTATTAATAAAACTCTCGAATGCTTGTAAACAGAATTCACGTAGCTCATCATCATCAACTTGACTACATTCCAAAATTAATGGAACAAATTTTTCAATGTGGTCTCCAAATTTGTGCCCAGATTGACGACTACAAGAGAAAAGTTTAATAATAAAGAATATACTCATATGTTACTCAATTAGCTTAAACTTAAGAATATACTTACCACACAGCAGCAATACATTGCACGTAAGTTCTGACCTGTGAACTATTTTTGTCAGAATACAATCCATCATACAAGTGATCAATTAGTTTAGTATATAAAGCATGGCTGCAAGAAAGTACTAAGTTACTGCAAGCACTAATAGTGCGTTTTCTGACTGCTTGACGTTGAGAGCACAATTGAGGCAGTAGAGCTTGTAATATTGAACCATGAAAGGCTTGCAACACTGGGCCAAAACGTAACAATAAATCTGTTATAATATCCAAAGCTTCCAGTTGAACCGACACATCTTCTTGCTATAACAAGTAATAATTATCATTAATCAAAGTATTACGCATATACTAGGTATTTTAATTAACAATAATAGTTCAATGTACCTAGAGCAATGATAACATACCCAGCTAGACAAAGATTGGCAGGGATGAACACTTAAAATGTCTTATCAATGTATTCATCTAAAAGTATCTCATACTTAGTTTCAGTGAAATTAAATTTTGTTTCTTCGTAATAATAATAAGAATAAGAAAGCTTATATTATTGTGTTGAATATTACTATGGTGTTGAATTGCTTGATACATATTTGCTATTAATTAATTGTACTATCCATGTCCATATTATGAATAAAATAATATAAAATAAAGTAACTTGTACTTGTACATATATTTAGTTTATGAGGTTATAGCAATAACCTACAAAAGCTTTTAAAATATGTTGTTTGTCTTTTGAAGGTTTTTATTTTTCCTTCAAATTCATACAATACACAAAATATATAAATTATTTATGCATAAATGCATGCATTTATTTATTTATTTGTACATTATTTAATGTACTCTTCATTAAAAACCATATTATTATGCATTTTTAAAAGTCAATATTTTTTATTCATGTCTGCCAATGTGTTTAATGTAACTATTATACTTACACGCTCAATTGCAGTGGTCAATCTACCAGTGATTCTTTTACAAATATTACCAGAGAGACCACCAGATGCTTGAGGAAGTTCAGCAATTACTGTTTTGAGACCAATGCTTGAAATATCTCTCAGTTGTTCTTTATCAGAAACCATATTTGTACATAAAGATTCAACTATGGTTTCCACTTGATACTCCTTGACTTTGTTGACTAAAGGACCCAAACTAAAACACATAAAAAGTTGTAAAATATATCATTTTATTTTAAATTTCATGTTTGTTTTTATTTACGGTAAATAAATATTTATTACAAATATTGTCTAATAATATAAACATACATACAAATATACACACTGCTAGAAATGGAATGAAATGTAGAGTAGAAGACGATAGTCCTGTATTTAGGTTAAATACACATATAAAATAACTAAAATCATTTATTTAGATATGTTTAACAGACCTGTAGAACTGGTATTGTCCGAAGTAAGCAATTTTGACAGTTGAAGGGATCTGTTAAAGAAAGAAAATTACTGACAAATTTGATGCCACATGTTAGTGAGATTTAAGAACATGCAGGAATTGATTTGTTGTAGTTTGAGCCACTTTCTGGGCTGAGAAACAAGATGAAAGAATTCAGCAGAGTAAAACTTGGACTCATACAATCATTTGAGAAAGACATCAATTAAAGAAAACATTAGATTTCAGAGAAGATAGCCAAACTAAAATGGAGATGGGCAGGACACATAGCCAGAATGACAGATGGGTGATGGACAAAGAGGTTATTGGAATGGAGGCCAAGGGAAGACAAGAGAAGCATTGGTCGACCACCTACAAGATTAACTGACGATTTGAGAAGACTCAATAAAAACTGGATAAGAGTGGCGCAAGAAAGACAGGGTTGGAAACACGAGGAAGAGGCCTATGTTCAGCAGTTTACTCTTGAGGCTGGATGATGATGATAATTAGATTTAATCATTAAAAAAGTCTTTTATTAATATATGCTATATAAATATCTTTCGACTATTGGATATTGAACATTATTATTGAAGTTTAGGGAGGTTAACAGTATACATCACAATAGTTCCAAGAAGTCATGAAAAAAATGTTTCAAACTGTTCAGTGGTACTGATTTTTATTATTTGCAGTATTTGTTGTTGTTGTTGTATTTGATAGTATTTTACTTTCATTAAATAAATTAGTAATATTAGGCATTATCCCTGATCTATTTTTTACTATACCTTATTCCATTAAGCGGTGCAGGGCATATAAACAACGATAAATTTAACAGATAATTGTTAAAGATGTTCCAAATGAGTCTACTCGTTCCGATAAGTAACAGTATAATTATGACACTTTATTATTTTTTTTCTTTTCTCAAATATTCTTGTTTATTGCATAGTAAATAAATTAATGTTATCACTGAATACAAAGTAAGTGAAAAAATACTCCGATTTATAAAATTAATGAATATTTTATGCATAAATGCAAGTAACAGTTCTTCAAAAATATTTAAAAACTAACCGGAATGTCCATCTTTATTTCGTCTGGCGATGTTATCGGCGGTTCATACCGGTTCAAACACGATTTAATGTTTATATTTTCCTGCACGGCTTAATGAATTTTACTATAGTATGTCTTACCATTTCACAGCCAAATTTTGAACCTCTCCATTTTTATCTTCAAGTAGCTTTAGCAACATCCTCACAACTTTCCTCTCAGAGTCATCATCTAATTTAATGCTGTCTTTCTGGAGTTCAGTCATTAGATCATTGGTTGCCATGAACCTAAAATCTTTATCTGAAGATGTCATCTGTAAAGAAACAGATCCTTAATACAAGAAAAGATTTATTGATCTGAATGTTCATCAACTAGAGATATAAATATAAAACACTATATACATACCTTGACATCAGTTTAAATAAATTAATAAACCAATAATATGAAAATATAAAAGTAAAAAAGCTAGAGAAAGCATTATTAAATGTGAGAAAACATTGTAAAGAAGTCCACTTGTTATGGAAATGAAATAAACAGGACTGAATTATCAAAGATCAATTTGCAGATGAAATTTATATACCATACTTCAAAGGATTATTATTCGAGCTGTAGTGAAATAAAAAGATATACACATGCTTTCTTCTAAGATTAAATTAGGTATAGAGTTTAACTTTAACTTATATAAATATAAAATCAATCAAGTATTTAAAATGTTGCAAAAACCAGTCCAATTTTGCTATTTTATATTAGGGTTACAATATCAGAATAAAGATAGTTAGGAACCCAGATTACCACAAAATCATTAATATTTATAATTAATTGGTGACAAATTCAAATATTTCGTTGAGCTAGAATTTATTTATCAATTTGTTTCTTTGGGGTGAAATGTCAAATTTTAAAAATAAGTACATACTGCATAATTATACTTTACCTTTTCTAGTAAATTAGCTATTTGATAAGACACACTAGCCATGGTTGTATAAAGACTATTACGAATATAAAGGACCGAAAAGAAATAAAATACAATTAAAAATTTTTAGTAAAAAAGTATAACCACCTTTTAGGTTAAATTAAAAAAACGTAAATTTTACATAGCACAAGTTGTTGGGATTTTAATATTTAACTGCTATAAACAATTTTCATTATTACAAGTGATATCTATATTTTGTATATATATTTATCCAATAATTTTATCGAAAAATGCGTAAAATTTACAGCTTTTAACACAGACACAAAAACCAAGGATTTTATTATATATGTTATTGAAATTCATTGAATCATTGACAGAAGAGAAAAGCATAGTTGGTTCTACTGATTGATAATGTTGGTAGCTTTGACGTTGTCACAATTTTTCACGAGGGACTCTTATTTGGATTCATGACGTTATCGGATATATATTTGACGTTGTGTTCTGTGTTTCAGATAAGCAAGCTGTCAATCTGTGTATAATCGTAAACGTTAAACATACAAAAAGTTCGAAATTTTGACTTTTTAATCTGTAAAAATATATAGCTGTCGTGATTGTTTTATCTGTACAGGTATTTAATACCTATACTTCTATGAATTGGTAGTGTTTTTATTTTTCATATTATTTACGTAGATAAAATTTATATCAATGAATTCTGCTTCACTTACTAATGATTGTGCAATGATTTTTATTCGGTGCAAAACGTTTTTTTTTATGTAATTTCAATTTAAAATATGCCCGATTTTTAAAAGCCACCGCCATTATTCGCCATTATATACCATGAAACAACAAGAAATGACAGGAATGACAACTGTTTCTTATGGTCAAGAAGGGTAATTTTAACCAGTGTTGCCATAGTTATTCAAAATTATGTTTAAAAAAATAAAAATTTACCTTCAAATTGGACATAACATTTTATTATTACCTACTTTTAACTGAAAATTATAGCTTTTTTACAAAGGTCATGTTAGATTTGGTTACGTTTCTTTACGTTTATTATCATGTTTTCTTATGAAAAATAAAAAAATTGATTTTTAATTATATTACAAAATTTTATTCTTATTACTGTTTTTTTACGAGCGTTAGGTTAGGTTAGGTTGGTTTAGTTTTATTGTCATGTTTTTATATTGGGTTAGATTTGGTTTATTGGTTTCCATTTTTAATATAAAAATGTTAAGAAAAATATGAAATTTTCTATTAATAAATATTGGGGGATTCCCAGACAGACTTTTAACGGTTAGGTGTCAATCTCGGAATTCTATATTTTTTTATACCGCGCAATATCAAAACGAAAATACCCGACCTTAATCGAATGGATGAAATTTTTTATATACCTGCGTTGCCGTCTAGACGATAAAAGATAATTTCATACGAAAATAACGATACATTATGCATTAAAGTGTACTTTAGATTTGCAATGTTTTGCAAACATCTAAATTTGGCAATTGTGTTTAAAATATTGGTGAGGAATAATAGTTGTGGCATTTTCAACTCATTTCTTGTTTGTTCGTGTTCGTTACGAAAGGAAGACAAAATGGAGTATGGTGGGTGTCAATTAAGATTTACGAAGTTTCGAATTGTGTTTGAACAAAGGTAGTGCCCTAGATTTTATGATCAAACACGGTGTTATTAAAGACAAAACGGTGTGTCGGTCCGGCAACGAGTTACGAATTAACGCTGAAGGTAGGTTTAAATCTAATAAACTTATCCCAAGATAAAATAAACACACAAGAAGTATGGATTTAGTCTATCGGCAAAGAAAGGGAGCTTTTTGGAAGCAAGTAAATTGCCGGTAGAAAAATTATTCATGTTGGTGGCAACTTTATTACATTTAAAGCCGCCTAGGCAACCATTCGTAAATGACGAGTTCGGGATTTCTTCCAAGACGATGGTTCATTGGTACTCGTTTTGCAGAAAAGTTTATATTATTAAGTTTTATTAAGGTAAGTAATTTTCATTAAATTTTTAGGTATTTTAAATGTTAAAACTGGCAGCAATTTCAAATGTACATAAAATTTAACTTCTTGCGCATGGCCGCCACATTGTTTTGATATATTAAAAATCTTGAATATTTTAAACAATTTTACGCATTTTTTCATAATTTACAGTAAAAAAACAAAGATATTTAATATGTTTTAGTTACGTTTTTTTATTGACATGTATATATACTTTTCTTTGCTATTTATGTAAATTTTTTTTGGTTCATTATAAGTTTTTTGTTATTTTTTCTGAATTTTTTAAATATTTGGGCACTTTTATTAGTTTACACCAAAGAAAACATTAAAATTTTGAGGTTTTTTCACTTTTTCGGCTAAGCCCACAAAAAATTGGGCATTTTTGAGGCGTTCCGGCTTAGTAAATAATTACCTTGTCTAAATTACCAGACAAAATGTCACTGAACAGCACTGGTTCCGTTTAAAACATGGCTGATTCCGTCTGCGCGAACGAGATGCGCGTACTTATTTTGCCAAGCAAAGTGGGCATTCTGATTGTTTATTATTCTGTGTCGATATAGTGTTTCAATAAATCAGTAAATTGAAGTTGAAATCAGTAGATCTAGTGAAAAATCAGTAGATCTGGTAACATTGCGAGAGGTAGTAATGGGCAACATACAGGCACCAAAACATGGCGGTCACATCGAAACTGGCTTCACTTTGCGAAGGTTTATTAAATGAGAGTTACCTCTCTCTTTCCTTGTCTACTGAAATATTTCTGAAATAAGACTGAAATATTTCGTCTGAATTTGACAGGTATGTCAGAAGTTAGCAACGTATTCTTTATTCGGTTGAGTTTACCGAAAGTACAAGCTATAAATATAGTTGCAAATGTCAACCATGAAATAAAATATTTGGGTTTGACAGTGTTACGATGTTTTTATAATTCATATGTTGTATGCTTCAAGTATAAAGAGAGAAAGCTTTTAAAAAGTAAATTTTGATTATACTATTTTGTGAATTCTGCAATTTTTAATTTTTATGAAACCATAACGAGTAAATATTTGTCTTTTTCAAGATTAATTGCAAACATCTGTTGCAATCCGGCAACTGTTGATTTGACGATTGTTAAATCTAATCCTGTTAAATCCCTAATCTATCAAAGGGCAATTGCCAAAAGAATTCTAATAATTAACTGCAACTAATCTCCAAAGAAATAAATATTTACTCATTTGTTTTATATAAATCAAAAATTGCAGAATTCATAACACAATATGATAAAATGTACTTTTCTAAAGCTTTATCTCTTTATATTTGTAGCATACAACATATACATTATAAAAACATGCCAACACCGCTAAACCGAAAATTTTTGTTCCATGTTTGACATTTGCGGCTATAATCAGCTTGTACTTTTGCTCAACTCAACCCTTTATTCATACGTTAGCAGGTGGCGTTAGGAGCAAGCAAAATATTCTATTGTTTTCATTGCATTATTATATTGTTGAAATATAATAACATTTGTTTAAAAAATAAAAAATAAATATTGAAATTATTTTATTCAATTTTAAAAATTTTCAAATTTTAAAAATACGAAACATACACACATAGTATGAAACTTCTTCGCGCTAGAGTACTGTATCGTCTCTGAACTATCTTTTTTTTTTGTGGGGGTGTAAAATCTTCTAAAGAGATGTGTTGGATTCAGAGTAAAAGTAACCGCCTGAGTGGATTTTCCTCTTGGAAGTCGTGATGCCCTGCCTATCAAGTATAGCATGGTGGAGTAGAAAAAATACATGAGAATTCTCCTACTTGTCCCCAGACCTCCTATGCTTGGCATGATCTTTGTTAGTGCTGCTGTTCTTTGATCGGATTTTTTGCAGGATATATTATGTGTTCACCGAAACTCTGTTTGGTGTCCAGTATTGCGCCCAGATATTTGACTTTCTTGATAAGTAGAATCAGGTCCACTCTGTCCTATACACAGTAGAATAAATTAATATATACCACAGATAATAATGAGCGGTTGAAGAGTAGTACTGACCCTGCTATCTTTCTCGTAGTTGGCCCAAGAAATCGCCGACTGCCCAACTATACTAGCGTTATAAAGGGGATATTCTTAATATGATGATAACATGGAGAGACAAGTAGTCCCAGGACAACCGAAAGGAAGAAGTCGAGGATCATCAAGGGGATCACTAATCTAATGGACAAATGCAGTCGAAAAATTAGTAAAAACTAACTTCGTCAAGCGGTATGTGCACTCCAGAATATGATACGAAGAGACAACGTGAAATGAGCAACATGATTCTTGGAAGAACCACGAGATTCATAACACTACGCATCTGTTAATACGTATAGATTAAAAGGTTTATTATAATACGATTTTATATCCTAAACACATCCTATTTTTTAAGAATCTGATGGAATTACATACCTTGGTCGAATATTTAGGAAAGACGCGAACAGATTAAATGGCAAGTATAAGCAGCTTAATTTTTAGAGACCAAAGTAAGTTTTCATAAATGCCTTTGAATTTGAAGACAAGTTTATTAACTGTTTTAAAAGTTGCTCATAAGGCCTACGTAGTATAGTAATTGAATTATTAGTAAATAATCAGGGATCTTCTACAAATTATAAGGAATTCATTCCTACAGATATTTAAAAAACTTCCTAAATGACGTCATGCTCTCATGACATTTACCGAAAGTTACCTACATTACCGATACCGACGGCGACCGAGGATTTAGATTGTTTCTTTTTGTGAAGTGTGCTTGATGCTTTAGAGATAAATTAATACAACAATAAAATGTAAAGAATTAAATTTAAGGAAAAACAGAAATGGGTCGGTCAAAATTTCCCGGAAAACCATCTAAACATATACATAGAAAGAGGGTAAATGTTCTTCCACCAACAGGGGAAATAACCAACATTGAATATAATACTTCAGTGATAGTTGGTTCTGTTGTAGAAAACAAACAGGTAAACATTTATATTTTGCACCTTTTCAGCATAATTAGAACGAAGTAAGACAAAGAAATAATGAGAATTTAAGTTAATAAGGGTTATCGAGAAAGCAGAGCTAGAAAAAGATCAAAATAAAACAAAATCATATGAGATTGAATGGATTGGAATGGAATATAACATCAGATGTTAGAGAGAAATTGTTTGTTTACAATCAAGACTAAGTTGGTCATAAAATGAAATAAAAACAGTTTTTGGTGTCGAATGTAAAGATAAAATATGATTTTACACTACTTTATTATGATCTTGGTATATCTGTTCATTTATTGCACCCAGAAAATATTAATTTATGGTGACAGCTTTTTTTTCTTTAATATGAATATTGTCAATAAAATAAATGTAAATGAAATACATGTGTTTAAATTCTCTTTATGATTTGGCCTAGTTTGTTTACATTTGATAAAAATTAATATTTCTTGTTTTTAGGATGAAGACTTGACTGAAAGTGATAGTGAAAGTGCACCCCCTGAAAATGCTTTAAAAAAAAGTGTTTCAATCCGAAGAAGACTGACTAGGAAGAGGAACTTAAATTCCTCATTAAGAAGTAAAAATGTAACTAAACGAACATTGTTATCAAAAATGTGCACTAAAAGTTCTGTAAAAACAAAATTAAAATCAACCTTGAATCAAAAAGCAGTACATACTTGTAATGGATCTTGTTGCAATAAAGTCTCAAAAGAATCCACTAATCTTGTTGGAAAATTTGTGTTGCCAACAAGAAGTGTTCATTCTTCTAGGGTAATAAAACCAAACAAAAGATTTATTAGTGATATCAATGAAGCAGTAACTTTGAAAAAGAAGGTCTCAATTGTTAAAAGACATTGTGTCAAACAGGAAGATGATAAGTCTAAGTTTATGGAATCTGGCAGCTTAAATGGTGATAAAACAACTTTTACAAATGGACATAGGGTAGTATTAAGACAAGCCAGGCTTAAAATTCCCAATCAGATAGGATTACAAGGCCCCTTTTCAACAAAACCTAATTCATCTCCAGGTGCAGTTACATGTGGTGTATGTGGAGCAATTAGATTTTACAGGTATTCTACATATATTTTTAATTTAGTTAGTAAACATGCATTGTTTTCAATTTTATATTATTAATCACTGTTGACAATTCCTTTACAAGGTTATCTACAGTTTTATTGGCATGAATCATCTATTCACCTACAAATATTAGCAATCTTAAAAAAGTCGTAAGTTTTCTTCTCAGTCCCAGTTTATGTTCTAAGTGAAAAGGCAAGCTAATTTTAAATGAACCAGTAGTACTAGATCTGCTGTATTTCTTTCCAGTACTTCTATATTTACAAATTGTTTTAATATTTCAAAAGTGATGATATTATAATACTGTTGCAATTGTAAGTATATAACTTTATAAAAAAATCTTGTTTATATCCTGCTTCACAAGGCAAATTAGTTTTAGATGAAGGGTCCTCTAGTACTAGATGTGCTGTATTTCTTCCCAGTTCTACTGGCTCTACAAATTGTTTTACATAATGTTTCAAAAGTGTTAGTATCTGTAGTAATGATCCATTTGTAAGTAAAATACTTGGAATGAGGTGTGTTGATGTCCTACATCAGAAGATATATTAGTGTTAGAAGAAAAGATCCTAATACTATATCAGATGTATTTCTTTCCAGTTCTACCATCTTTAAAAATGGTTTTTTTAATTTTTCATAAATGACAATATATTATAGTACTGTTACAATTGTAAGTAAATAACTTTGAAATATTCTTGTTGATATTTTACCTCAACCTATATGATGTATTGAACTGTCATGATCTCCTAAACAACCCTGCTGATTTCAAACATGCTAGTTTTAAAAGAAAAGTACTAAATCAGCTGTATTTCTTCCCCATTCTGTTTCCCTCTTCAAAAATTGTTCTAATGTTTCACATTTGATAGTATCATTCAAATACATTTGAAAATATTTTTGAATATTCTACTAGTGGTACTATGTAAGTGCTTTAAATATGTTGTCCTAAACATTTAGCTATCATCTTTTGTCACTATATTCATGGCCTTTGTTTACTCTAATATAGGAAAACCAAGTAGGTGTATGAATCATTTTAATAAGTAAATAACATTTTTATGGTATATGAAAGGTTTATTTTTGTGGTAGTTTGAATAACAGCATTTGTGGGAGCTTAAGTCAATTCTTAGTACAATTTATTTATTTTTTTATCTAGATTTATCAAGCAAGCTAGAAAGTTCAACATTTATAGCTGTGAATCATGTAGAAAATTTATTGCACGGATGATAAAAAGACAGGCATGTGGAAATGAGAATAATCAAATAACTTTGGTATGTAATAAAGGACAAGGGAATTGCCTTGTACCTCCAGTAATAAGAAATCAGCAATGGAAGTTAAACAAGTGTACTTATAGGGCAAAATGCTCTGCTTGTTGGCTTAAATTGTGTGTTCGAGCGTTTTACTTACCTCCCTCTCTAAAACAAGGCCTTAGTTTGATGTTGCCAAAATATATGCAAGGTTTGGATGTTTCTTTAAATAACACTCAATCCCCATCATTGTGGCAAGCAAACGTGGAAACAAAATTAGTAATAGAAAAGCCACAAGAAGCAACCATGAAGAGAAGGCCTGTGAGGTCCAAGAATCCGAAATCTCAAGTTATAGCTGTTTCTTCTGGTACTAACTCTGATATTAAGAGACAGAAAATTGATTTAAAAGGGCCCAGAGTAAAACATGTTTGTCGTAGTGCTTCAATAGTATTAGGTCAGCCATTTGCCATTTTTCCCGAAGGTGAGAAGAAATGTGATAATCAGGAACAAGAAAATGATATTAAAATAGCTGACGATAAGACAGCTAGTGATAAAAGTGAAGTTAAAAGTACTGTTTCCTGTAAAAATGATTCAATACCTAGTGAACCAGAGTCTAGTTGTAGTGATGGTTCTTCTAAAAACTGTACCAGTGAATCTGCGGACTTTACCAAGAGGGAAAAACTATTGAGAAATGTCTCCACTTTGCAAAGTTCTCTACAGGTATGTAACTACTACTTCCTAATTGTTATTTTTACCTATTGTATATGTTATATATATATATATATATATATATATATATATATATATATATATATATTTACAGTATCAGAAAAAATTTAAGGTAGATATGCCATTTTTAACCAAAGGAACTCAGAGAAATATATTTAAAATGATATAGCTATATTAATAGGCCGGACACCAAACCAATTTGTTTATTAGGTGTTTCTATAAGAGCAGTTTTAACAGGTCATCGAAGTCAGAAAATCGTATGCTGTTGTTTAAATTATCATATTTTATAGTATGGATTATCGTACTTACTTATATTCTATTGAACCAGAAATTAACAAAGTAGAAAAAATAATATATATATATATATATATATATATATATATATATATATATATATATGTCTTCATATCAAGGCGAGATCCGATTAAATCGAGGACAACCCGAGATCCACCAATAGGAAATTAATTAATGGAGTATATTGTTCATAACTATCTTTATAATTAACATATTAATTATGGCACACTTAGAGGGGAAAAGATTTTTGAACTTAAATTTTTTTGATAAATTTACAACAAAATGAGATCCGTAGCTGAAAAGGGAAGGGGAAGACTTATATACGAAATTTTAGATATTTACAGATCAACGCGAGATCAGACACTGTTGCCAGCTCTAAAGAGTATAAGTCGAGCGACTGGAGCTCGTGTTGTATTGCATATTTCCTACTCAAACAGTAAAGTAATTTTCGGTTATGGTGTTTTGTATTTTAAAAATATTGCAAGGGCAGCGGTCAGTTGAAGTAGTAAAACAAAATTCAAAGATAACAGAAGCTAAGTAATGATTATAATTTTTATGTATATTATTAAATAATTCAACATAAACTTTATAAACCGAATTACTAAAATGCCCTGTTTTATTGAATTTGTGAAATCTATTCTCAAAGCTCTTTTTGTTTATTATTTATGTATAAATTAAAAAGGGGAAATTATTTAAACTAAACAGTTTATCTGTATAACAAAAGCTATCATTTTAACATTCTAATCGTGTTTTAACATACAAATATTAGTTTTGTACAAGAGTAAATACGTTCCATACTGAAGAGTAACTGGAAAAAGGCTTCTAGAATAGATTTTGGTAGGCACTTTGTTGCTAAAATGCAAAACCTATTTTTATTCGTTTCTAATATCTTTCTAATGCAAAATCACTTAGTCGTCCAAAAATCGTAGCGTGAGGGGAGTGGTGGGGAGCCTTACAAAAAAGTGCTAATTTGTTTTTCGTCCTTTTTCGGATCTACGATATCCGAAAATTCATTCTTCAAATTTGCATATCGATCCGGACATTAGAAATATTTTTATTTTATTTATAAAAATACGTCATCCATTGTTGTATACGGAGTGCCTTCATACAAAATGACTTAGAATGAGTCTGAAAACCCATATTTTTAAAATCGTTTCTCCTCGCTCTACCCCGAAAAATATTGGGTCTAGCAAAAAATGGCTTTCTATAAAAATTATAGACCAAACATCAGAGAACATGTCGGTTTGTTTAGAATGTCGATTGGATAAATAGTTTAAGAAAAAATTAAATAAATCGAAAGGCATGTCACGACGCACAGTGGCAAACGCAGAGATGCGAGGAAGGGCGAGATTCATAATCTGAAGTCAACCTTAAATCGACTTTAGTGATGGCGATGTTGTTAGGGTCGATTTTACATTGAAATTCTGTTGTGTTGTATATTCGATTGCGAAAGTGCATCATTGTGCAATATTTTTTACTAATAGCACGAAATCCACTAAGCTGAGATTTTTAATATTAGAAGTTTTAAATTATTTTAATGAACAGCAGCAGGTATGACAGTGAACTTGAGTCAAAAATCAGATTACGGCATGTTTCTTTCCGTAAAGTCCATTTCCATTTTAGTTTGCTGAAAGAAGCGGAAACTGGAGAATACATTTTTGTTCTAGTTTTAGAAAAATGTATCCCTACTTCTTTGCATTTAACCATGTGAACTATTCTTTTTGGTAAACATTACATTTGTTGGACATGTACAAACTTGCTGATAAGGCTCCAGAATTGCATGAAGTCTTTATGAGAAAAAATTTTGTTGTGAAAAGTTTGAACAGAAATTTTAACCAACTATTTGTAGATCCAGCTTGAGACATATAAATACAAACTCAAAAGATGCAGGAGGAATCGTGAGATTGATTAAAACCAGCACCAAACAAGACGAATGGTTGTTAAGCTACAATATGATTGGCATGATGGTAGATGAATTTCGTGCATCATGAGACCTAAGCAACCACTCAAGTCAAAACGTAGACAATAGAAAAAAACGGATGAAAATTGACGAATATTCTGTACAAAAACTACATGATCAGTTTTTTACGATTTAATGTATTTTTCAAAAGCGTAGATCGTCTTCTCGTAATTTCAGCTAATAAGATTGCATCGCCAAATGTTCAAATACCCTTACTAAATATACAAAAAAAAAAGAAGAGCCTAGCAAAATTTCTTCTTACTGTTAGAACTCCCAATTTTTATCAGCATTCAAGAAGTACTTTCAACATTTCCAACATTATAAAACTGTCTCTGAAAAGAAAAAAATTATTCATGCTGTGCAAGAGCTTTTATAAAAAATATTAATAACCAAGGCAATTGAAAGTAACATAAATATTAAGAGAATATTTTCAAATATGAATTTACAGCATATCCAATGTCACTTGTACCTGTAGGAGTTTTATCGATACCATCAAATAAATCTGCCTTAGGTTCTATAATAGGACAGTTTACAGTTATGTCTAAATATCTACCATTACCATTATAAAGTAACAAAAGTGTCACATTCTTAAAGGTATGAGTTTAATCCAAGCCGTTGGCAAACCCTCCAACTGCAAATCATTTGGCGACTATGCAAGAATTTTAAAATCAATAGTGTTCAAGAACCTCTACAACCCTAAAAGGATTGGTTTTGTATTTGACCAGTACTAACAATCTTTGTAATGGTCCATATAAACTTTCTCCTACTTCAGACAGTATAATATATAATATTCGTGTATATACTCATCCAAACGAAGGTATGAGTATGTAGTGTGACACCAAGACTTTGACTCCCGAATCTGTTGCTAACTGGCTGGAGTAAAGAAAATGTAAAGCTGGTACCAGTTTTAAGCACGGAATCCAAGTTGAAGAAACATACATACATATACTATACTCCTAATAGGTGTAAAAGATGAGTTTATTTTTACCTTTTTGTGAAGAATAATTATTATATTGGTTTTTTTTCTAATTGTCAGACTGTACAGAGGCTCCAATGCTCATGTAAACGGAAACGAGATCAAATTCATTGGTTCTTGTAAATATATTATGGCCCAAGTGAAATGTTACAAAAAAAGTGATAAACGTGAACAATTTTAACCATAGAGAGTGTTACTTCTTTTTATAGTAATGAAGAGTCTAACATAGAGTAAGATAACTAACACAAGATAATAATTAAGAAATAGGTACATAGATTGAATTGTTTTTATTACTATCCTTTGTTCTTGAACGTGAAATTTGCTGCCAGGGAAAACCGTTGCAATTTTAGATGTTTTATATATCACAAGCTTTTGAATTTTAACGCCGCTACAACGTCCTTAATAAGCTTTATATAATACTAGATAATAATGTATGAAAATTTTTGGGACAAACCCCGATGTACCAAGTCACCTAGGAATCGAACACAGAAAGAGTCCCACAGGTCAATCCTTTTGATAACGTGGGTATCTGGGATGAGTGAATTTTCCCCTACGAGGGAGTGCGAGCTGTATAGCTAAATTTGGATTTTCTTCAGTAAACGAATTTAAAGGAAATATAAAGTTAATTTGTTTATAAAGCTATTGCTTGTAAACTATTTGACGTACAGTGTCCAAGTTTAGCATAAATGAACTACATATATTGAAAAATATTCCCGTGGAATCTTTATATAGTACGTGAACAGCATAGTTGGTCCCTTAATTATAAATGATATGCAAAAAAGATTTTTGTTTGTAACTCTCATTCAAATTGAACGCGGTTAGATTTATTTTGTAGGTCTTTTAAAAGCGATTAAAATAAGTGTTTGACATTTTTTGTAAAACAAACAGTGGAGAAGATATGCGAAGAAAAATTGTAAAAAAATAATACTACAAATAAACAATGTCTCCGAAATTTTTTAGACTTCGAGTACTTACCAACGTGTTCTACATAATTTTATCTAAAAAATTACTTAAAATCATCTAACTCCTAAAAATGTCATCAAAACGACAATTTTGAAGCTCTTCCCACTGGTTAAAGAAGCTATTATAGATTCACACAAAAATTGTGTATTTTCAACTCTAAATTTATAATTTAATTAATTATTCTAATTTTATATCTATATCCATAATAGTTCTAATCTAATTTCAAAATGTTTATTTAAATAAAAATGAAGGGTTCCAGTTGAAAATTCAAAGTTGCTACACCCACCGCGTTCACAGGGAGAATAAGAACCCTGCTATTGCATAAGTATATCTATATTTTGAAAAACCATTAAAAAACAATTCCTAAGTTTTTTCGATACGACGCGACGTCTAGTTCTCGAGGTATTTGACAATCGCCTTTCTGGACAGAGCTCTTTAATAATGTAAATAATATTATTCAAACCGGAAATAAGCCGAAGGGAGTGAGAGGTCTGACTGTAAAATTCATTTGCGATGTTGCCAAATTTACCGGATCTCGGGTTGTCTACAAAATGTATATTTGGCATATACACAACGGATCGCTCGCACTGCCTCTACAGCGGATTTAGTGGAACTACTGCAATATAAAATTCACCAAAAGGGGTGCAAAATGAGGTCCAGACAAAAATCGATTTCCTTGTACCCCCATCATTGTTACATCGAGATGTCACTATATACACGTGAATACAAGGTGAGATCCAAAATCGGATCTCGCCTTGCAAAACGGATCTCATTTTGTATAGCTTATGATACAAACGG